AATTTTAATAGACTAGCTAAATAAAAAAAAATAATTATACATAGTCAACAAATAAAAACGTGTTAAATGATAGATTCAATTCTTAACAATTATTTGCTACAAATTAAATAAAGTAGACAGTTCATTACTCATTAGCAAAATGCATCGTCCGATCAATTGGATTATTGTTAGTTACCGTAATTAGTGCCATGAAAAGGAATGACGTAGAAAAAATAAGATCTAGAGGAACGAGCAGGAACTTTAAAGTTAATTTGAGAAAGCCACATTGATATGCTCATTTTCAACCTTTGTCAAATTACCACATCGGCACTTGTCTATTAGATAATAAGAATATTTATGAGGGGAAAAATGCTAGTTTACAGACACGTGATATTTGTGTAGCTACAATTTCCTCCCATTTACCCCCACCATTACGAGTGTCAATAATAATATAATAATGTTGCGTAACCTATGGGTAACTTATATACTATATTACAGTATATATAGTTCAGTGTTATAGCCGCATTCGCATTTGAAATGTGTGTTCTTGTGTTGCATAGTGATAAAAAAAAAAAAAAAAATGTAGATATATATTATTTACTTCTATTATTTATTATTGATTAGTTTAATGAAGAAAAAAAAAATGCTCGTATAATAAATATGTTATAGTATATATATATATATATATATATGTGTGTATGTATGTATTATGTATAATATATGTCTACATAACTCTTGATTAGTTGTTTTCAGATATGCTAGATGACGTGAATATGATTAATTATTATTTTCTGTATATACTTAATAAAACACTGAGGGGTGCGCGAAGGACAATAATTAATGTCCCTACGGGTTCCTTTTCAACGCGTAATATTTTGATTATAATAATTAATTTGATTGATATTTCTAGTATAAAACCAGTGTCCGTCCGGCGTCCGCGATTCGATTCTCTATACATAACAATAGATGTGGACGAGTTTTGGTTTTTTGAAAACATTTAACATATTAATTTGTTTGAGCCGAGTCGAGTACTCGAGTTTGCGAGTACCAAAAGAAAATTTGTCGAATCAAGTACTTGACCGTCTCTTAATAATAAGTTTTGAGCGTCGTAAATATAGCGTTATAAATGAAATATGAAAATTTGTATTTCCTATATTACCCGCTCCCCGTAACCTCACTCGTACATTTTAGTTTCTGAGCGAAGAATTGGTTTTATTATGATGTATTTTTTGTTATCTATTTTTTTTTTCGATTTTCGGAAATACGATTTTTTTGGCCCAGCCAAAATGCTCGAACATTTAACACGATAAGGTATCAACGATAAGTTTATCACGAGTTGTAAAAAAAAAAAAGGAAAAGTTGAGCGTTATTTTACTTGAATACATGTTAACCATATTTTTATTATAATTTCTATAGAATACGATATATAGTTGATATCTAGTCTACCGGTGATACACAATAATATTATTAATAGGGTTTTATTGAACTTAAAACCAACAAAAAAGCACTTGGAAGACTTTGTTATAATAAGCTCTTAAAAAGCTTAATAATCCTACGGAGTACTGAAATAAGTACTTAAAGAATATTTCAAAAAGCAAAATTCTATAAAAAAAACTATTGAAACAAGTTAAAAATAGCTTGAATATTTTTAAAACTATACTCGCGAATTCGTATTCCCTCATGCTGAGCGATGACGGACGCGACAAGTAGATAATATAATAAAAATATAAACACCTCAGATAATAGAATACACGGTAAAATTTCTTATAAATGTGAGATTTCGTCACCAGTTTAGATAACTGTAATAAAAAGGTAGAAACAATGAAAAAAAAAAAAAAAAGGTGGAAAAACTAGTAAAACATTTTTTTCAAAAAAATATTGAAATAAAGAAAAAAAACACTAAATAAAAATGCCATATTTGAATTCGTAACATGATATTTATTTATATAGTATCCTACTTGATTTAAATTCAAGTCAGAAATTTTAGCTCGTGGTGTACTAGCATATTTGACCCGTTTATTATTATTATTATTTATTTATTTTCTTTTTTTTTTGATGAGGAGGGGAATGAGGGATTGATTCAAAAAGTAATATTATGCATAGGAACCTCCATTTTAACCAAGCCCCGACTATATAACATCGATGTCGTATTTATAGGCACTGTTGGTACTTTTACAGTTACATACACTACGTTGCGAGAGTATTAATTTATCTGGTACGGTAAATCTTTTTTATAATATAAAGAAGAGAACAAATAATACATCACAATTAGACGCAGCCCGTCACCTGCGTATATTCGGTTCGCGTGCCTGCAGTGCGCGACAGTACTATTTTTTTTTTCGTATTTATCTATTTTTTTTTATAAATATATACAGGGTGATAATTTTATCATGATATCAGCGATTTTCTCGGAGAATTTTAAGTAATAATTATGATTTTTGGTTTTTATTATTGATATGCTTTCTATCAACTTATTCGCGAAGAAGAAATGTAAAACTTGTGATCCATGTTTGACTCAATTCCCGCTATCCGATTAACCTGACATTTAACTTGAGCTCATATTTTCGATAACAATACAATAATCAAATGATCTGTTTTCACCCCAGGTTTCAAAAAAGGGACGAATAAGTTCCGCTCCATATACGGAATGGATGGAATAGCTATCTATTGGGCATACTTTTTTTAAAATATTAAAAATATCTCATACAACTTTTGTTCGTGTAATAGATTTTCCATTTTCCCGAAGTCGTGGAAATTGATTTTCACTCCATATATAACTAAACATTATTTAATCACGGCATTAAATAAAATAATAATTAGGTAAGTAAATGGTTAGATATTTAGTTATACTTAAGTAAATATAATAAATACAAATAAATAAAGCAAATCTAAAAACCATGCTTATAAAATGAACTTAAAAATAAATAATAATAGTAATAATAATAATAATAATATTATTAAAACTATATTTTTTTCTCGTATATATGAATGAAACATCCACAATGTTTTAAAATCAAAATAAGCTGGTCGTAAGTCAAATTTTTTTAAATGAAAGCATTGGAACTTTTTAGTTTATTACTTTGTTAAATGGTGTATTGCAAACAAACTTCGAAAAAAAAATTTTTTTCATTGAAAAATTACTATTTTAAGTTGAAAAAGTATGCAAATGTGAAAATTATCGATAAATTATCTCCGTTTGTAAATCAAGTATATTCTAATATTACGATTCATCAAATACTTAAATCGTTAATATTTGTTAGTGCATAAGATAAACGTTTTTATAAATATATTTTTGTCAATAAGAGTTTTATATTTTGTAGGGAATTCGCCATTTTATAATGATACGTGTGAGTTGGACTGAGACAGCACATGCGGGGATAGTGTCCTCTTAATGAATTATAAGAGTTTAGAATTTAGACCGGATGAGTATAAGGAAGATTAAAGAAAAAGAAAGAAAGAAAGAAAGAACAGGATGTTCCAGGGTTCATTCCTTTTTTCTTTCTTTCCTTCTTAAGGTGTATGTAATATATATATCGACGTCATTATTATTAGAAACGAGTAAAAATATACGAGTATAAAAATCCATTTTAAAAGCTCGAAAACATTCAGTGTCAATGTTAAAGTGATAGGTACCTATCGATATTGTGTACTCTCTAAAATACTTTCGATGACAAGATAAATGAAATTCCTATATTTCGTGGAGCGTACAAGTATATTATTATTATGTATATAATAATGTCGTTCGATCAATTTTCATTGTGGTTCTAATATTAATGAACTTACTCGTCAATATTTAATCTCCCAAATTAATTTTCAAATAGTTTTAAAAAGTTTGCCCCTTCTCTTAGACCTCTTTTATGCTAAAATGATCTCAAATTTGTATTTAAAACGCAGTCTGCAGTCTAAAAATCGGTAATTTAAATTATGTATAATCCTCTGCCAATAATATATCAAGGGAATGTATTTTAAATACATAAATCTAATATAGATCGAACAATATGAAATTAATATAGCAACCTAAAATTAATTAAAAATTAATTTGAGATTATTATGGTATAATATTACAATAACGAATCGAAAAGTTCTTAGATTGTAAGTTTTAATAATAGTTATCACATCCCGAAAACAGCTATAGAGTCTGATGTTTAAACATTTAAACATCACTGATCTTTTAAAAAATATTCGGTAATTTTCGGGACGTACATGAAGGGACGGGGGGTATCCATATCGCTATAACTATGTAATGATGTGCTCAGTCAATTATTTAATAACACCATAATTAATAGCAATTAATATTAGAACATACATAGAAACATTATTTATCATAACGCATCTTTATAATCAAACCTTAATACATTATGTACCATAATAACTATGTGCCATTACTAACTCTACCTCGTCTTTTTTTCTATTAATTATTTCAATTTGAACTCTATAAGTAACCAGATTATAATGCCAAGATTATATGTTACGTGTGGTTTTTTTCATCTTATCAATTACGTGGAGATCTTATTCAGAACACATATTATCTACACGTAGGACCTGTAAGAAATATGACTCTTACTTTAATTAAACTCATCCCTCTGCTCACACGTATTGTAGTAAGGAATGGACCGATTCCATATGTTACTATAAGGTAGTGAATATAAAATCTGGATCTTTGTCCCCCCCTCTCTATTTTGTCTCATTACAACTAGGAAATTGGACGAATTATCTGTCTATGAAAAGTACTTCTTGCTCGCTATTAGATTCTTAACGTCGTGATTTCCATGCAAAGATACTATTCCGATTGGTTATAGGTATTTCCCTAAGACTCTATTTTCCGTGATTGAGTGTTTTAATCTGGTGTGTACAGAAAATAGGGCGCATGTCTCTGTTCCTTTTTCCTTCGACTGTCCTTGTATAATCATTTTTTCATTGCCGTTATATAATGTGGTCAAAGAATTCGATTATTTGGCTCTGGGTAAGGTACGATTTCGGGGTTGTTTATTAAGTTCCTGTATTATAGACATATTCGTTCAATGGTCGATCTATGGTGCTCGCAGCATGTAAAGTACAGCGTCCTTGTAATCAATTTCCTGTCATCGAGTGATGGAGCACCGGTATAAATCGTATATTGATTCTTACCGTCCCGAAAAGCGTTAACCGAAATAAACACACAATTCACGGCGTGAGACGAATGATAGTATCGTCAATAGCCCACTGGTTCCGTTTATAGAATCCGACAAATATTATAATCTATTATCTAATCTAATGTGTATGGCCTACAGCATGCCGAAATCCGATATTTTAAGCCCGGGTGCAATTCGAGATCTGCAACACGCGTCGAAGTCGGATTTTTAACTATCAATTTCTGCACACCGATACTTACACTAAAATTTTGGATAAAAAATGCGGTTTTTTTCATTGATTTCTAGTTTTTCTTGTTTTACGTCTTTAATATTATCATATTGAGGTACAAAAAAATGCATTTATTAGTGTGATTGCGATATATTTCTATAATATTATATAAGTACCGAGTATCGGTCATCGACAGCAACATTTTTTTTCTGGATAAAACGATTTCGTAATACTATTATATTATAGTACACGAAAAAAAGACGAAAACACGTTCGTTAAATAATATAAACGACGACGAAAGGGAAACACGTTTCGACCACCTCACCGCCGCGCCAGTTCACTGCGATCACCCCGCTCTCGTAACCGCCGGATGGGAACACAGCTGAGTATAATGGGAAATAACCAAACCGCGACAAAAATGACCTTTTTCTTAAACAAATGTATGTGCAAACTGCGCCGAAAAAAATTAATATTTAACACACTACACGTGTACACACTGCAAACCGCATTAAAACGTATATTATAAACATCAACAATTTGTGACCATTTGTGTATTTTTTACAAGTTTGGCAAACAATTTCTAACCTTCCGGTCCTTTTTTACCTCCGAAGTAACGTTCTAAATAGCATTATGTGTCTAGGTGGAATAGTTTTGTCTATACAGGTCTAATAAAAGTATTCGCAGTTTTTACAGGCATATCGCGGCGCCCTTCGCGGTTTTATTGCAGTTATTGTACAATCAACATCGAGGGGAGTGTTCATACCCCGTGCAAATGCTCTTCTCCGAAATATTGTTTAATATTATTTTCAAGATAAACGTCAACATAGACCATTATGTGTGCTCGTAACGAAAATAATACAAGATTTAATTAAAAAACGCCCCTCCCCCACGAAAATTCGATTCGGCTGCGGCCTTGGACCCGGGGACTCGACCGTACGTGAAAACACGCCGCTGACAGCGGCGCGGGAGCCGTGACGACGACTGCGGCGGCGGTGGCGGCGCGCACGCGCACGCGCGTCGACGGAAAAACGGGCCCGCGGGTCGACTGCCCCCGCTGACCGACAGCGAAACCGGTCTCGCCGCACCGTCGTCGTCCGCACGGTGTTCGAACAGTTCCGACAGTCGCTGCAGCACACTGTCGTCCAACGTACCGGTCTCGCCGTCGTTTTCGTCCGGACCCGTTCGCCGTCGTCGTCGCCGCCGCCGCCGCCGCGTAACCGTCGCGTCGCACGCCCGCGCAACGCGCACACCTGTCCCTCCGGTCCGACGGTCGACTGTTACCCATTGTCCGGTCGTTGGTTTTTCGGCGCCATCCGCGTAGAGTATTATTACTTACCCACTTCCGAATACAGTGCTGCGTGTGGCGGTGAACACCCGCGCCAAATTATAATTTTTCACGCCGCGACCGATCCGCACGGGGCTGAACTTGCAGAACAGGTAAATTACAATAACGAAATCGTGATTGTATACATAGTCATTAATAGGATATTCGGCCGGCGCGTATTTTTGCTTGTACGCCATACAACTATACTTTTGCGTCTGTATATTGTTATTGATGCGTATTCGTTTCGACATTTTTCGGCCGTTTTCCGCGCCTTGAAAATATCGAAAATATTCCCTCCCTCTTTCCGCGCTCGAGATCGTTGTAAGTCTTTATTGGCGCGGGACGAGTTAGATTGGGTTAGGTTACGCGCGATACTACCTATCTCTCCGTGTCTGATATCGTCTGCATAAATAACAATATGTTCCGTCGTACTTGTTCGCATAACAATATTTATAAGTATGCATAGTATATATTGATAACGACCCGGGTATACATACATATATATATCGATATTACATATGTAACGCGATATTATTTTTTCATTTTTTTTTTTATCGTCTTAAATATACACGATACCCGTGCGACATAGACTTTCTCGTACCCGTATAATATTATAGATCTGTTATAAACTTGATCCTATTGCGATAGCAGAACAAAATATCGACGACAGGGCAGGTATAATTTGTAGGTATTATAGGTAATAACGAGTGACTTGAATGCTGGGCGCAAAGAAATAGCGACCGAAAACGAACGTTCAGTAACGCGTTTTTATCAAACTTAATCACGCCACTCAAATAGGCAGGTTTTCCACAGGATAAAAATACGTTCAGTTTTATAACGTCTTAACAATAATATAATACGCGATAAAGTAATAATATTAGAATTATTGGTTTTTTTTTTTATATTATTATTAGGTAACTTACTTTGATTAATTTTTCATATCATATTTCTGCGTGTACGCAATTATTTACCTACCACAACCGATTTGGGAATTTGCTTAATTAATCGCGACGATAATAGTATTTAATCATAATCGTTATAATTTTCTAAAGTACACTCAGTTAGATTAATGCATTGATTTTTCGAAAATAATTGACGTACACGTATGTTAACTATACTAATCATTGACCAATAAACAGTCGTCATTGACACAAGTGACGACCACAAATATGATATTTCATATATAATTTCATTGTGTTTACAAAATATGCGCCCGCGATCAGCATTTACAATATACCGGTTAAGCGTGCGGGTAAACTTACATAGTGTATACTGGTGAAACAGAAAACAGTTAATATCGATAGACAGAAACAAGCGACACGAGAGAAGACCCGGGAGAGTAAAACCGTGGAGAATAAGTGCGAAACATAATAATATTATGTGACACTGTAACCGTAGTATATTATAAACAGATTATGGTTTTGCGTGTAGACGTACCGGATTACGGGACTTTGAACGAATCAAGACGAAAGTCTGCAGTTTATAACCATCGAGTATTCATCGGAATAAAGGTCTCGATACGCTCTATGATGCGGTGACGTCTACAATGGGAATGTGTTAAAAACGACACGGATTATACGAGATTCAGACCGGAGCTTGATATTAAAGGGCAAATCCACGGAATTGCAGATCTTTGGCAAATTTATTGTCGTTCGTATAATTATTTTTTTTTTATTCTTATGAAACTATACACGCCTACCGTAGCGGTTTATGCCTCCCTACGAAACAGAAAATATCCTCATTGTGTTCAGCACCACAAATGCAAAATACGATAGTCGCAGCTGCAGTCGGGGCGGTCTGTCGGCTCTTCACAATTCCCCCGCCTACAAGGTCATCGTAATTTGCTCGTTCGTACATACAATAATAATTTTTATTACGCTTAAATAATGCCTATAATAATATTATTTTCACCGGTAACATTACATATTATATTATATAGGCAGGTAACCTATAGGTATAGACGTATAGTGTTATTTCAAACGTTATACCCGCCCGAACAATACGCGCCCGACTCTCGAGTATTATATGCGCAGGTTGGTAGGTATAGGTACGCGCGAAATATCGTAGGAAAATAATAATATTATATATTATATACTTGTAAAATAAAAATAATAGGCTACGAAAACTGGACCAAGATCGTATGTAATAATAATATAATACGCGCGCAGAATAGGTACGCATTGTTCACACTATATATTTGTGTGTGTATATATTATGTGTATTGCAACACACACTATTATAGGTAGGTACAACACCTACTCTATCCGTCGTCTCATAATAATAATAATATATAATATTATATTATATTGTATCCGACGGGCGATTAAAAAAAAAAAAAAATGTACAGGTGGTTGGTAAGTAGGTATAGGTATACGCAAGGCGGGTATTGTGTCGAAATTTCATACTTAAATGCTACTCGTGAATCGAATTTTAAAAACGACGGAAAATAAAATTTGTTTCGTGCACCTCTATGCGCAGGCGATTGTCCTGTTGCAGTTCGTATTACACCCGTAGTTATCAGTCTGAGTAAACCTCCGTCGCCGGTATAGATTTCCAATAATATAATCAACAATATTACTTATAAGTGTATACTATTATGTTTGAATCAATATTATTTTGGTGCGATTCGGCGCTCGCCTCGAAAATCTTCCCCGTTGTTCCGTATCGTTTATTGTATCTATATCTATACACCAAAAAACTAAAGACGAAAAAGCACTTCGGATCGTATTACAAAAGTTTTCGTTCCCGTGACAGTTATCGAGAGGTGTATCATAGATAATATAAGGTATGCCAGCACCCGCGAGGTTAGGTTGCGGGATATCGAAAACGTTTCTAAAAGTTTTATTTCCCTATAGTATTATACCGAGTCCAGGAAACGCGTTTTTATTTTATTCGAGGACAACTATTATATTATCCGCGCACTTCAAACTTGTAGTATTATCATTGTTATCAACGTCTTATTGTCGACTTATGATGTTTTTTTTTTCGGGCAAGGGCGAACGGGTAGGTACAACATTTTTCGTTTTTACAATACCCAAAACGTTTGGGTTTATTTTACACAAAAGCGAATGAAATAATATTTAGAAAGTCCGATGCAAAATTGCCGACCTCACATATCAACGCATAGTGAACCTACTTAAAATCAATGTCGTAACTCGTAATAATAATCTATTATACATATGATATAATTGCACGTGCATATACTATCGTTATTAAAATATTTTAAATCCGGTATTGCCTACGGAAATGTGGTTTTTATAATATCATTGAAACATAATTATCAAAAAAGTAATCTAAAAATAAATAATGCTGCACGTTATTGAAATACATTCGCTACGATTTTTAAATGTTATTTAAATATAATAATTTATTATTTCATCATCGAAATATTATAGGAAGCATAAAACATGTTACACCCGATAAATTATAGCTTATTACAAATTAATGAATAAATTAAATTACATTGAAATGCGTACAGCCCTGTATATACAGGGTAACATTTTTTTTATCGTGTTGCGGCCAAGTTCTGCGAAGATTTCGAATATAATTGATTTTAGTTGATTTTGTTTTGTTCAGTCTTTATAGAATCGTATAACGATTCAAGTTAACAATATTTTCAAAATCGCACACTTATACTGCACACCGTATAGGGTGTCCCAAGAAAATATACCCAATTTATTTAAAACATTGTGTATGAAGTGGATATATCTTCGTAGGACACCCTGTATAGATATCGACTTGTAATTTTCAAACAGGAACACCCCTCTTCTCCTTCTAGTATTTTTCACAACAAATCCGAAAAGAGAATATTTTCCAAACATTTCGATAATAAATGTAACACTATTATTGCATTTCGACCAAATAAGTGATAGAAAAACGCTATTATCCAAAAATGGATTTATCACTCTTTTATACTATTCCATCAGTTTAAATGATTTTTTTTTTTGTAGCGTTTTATCTGCGGTATTTTCGATATAATAATGTTATGTATATATCAACATTCTTTAGACAAATATTAATTTTCTCGAGTCTACGTCGAAAAAGTAGGCTAGCCATTAAAAAACCAAAAGTTATAATCGTTTAAATATATTTGGAGTGAGGGTAGAGATTTCAAAATGGTGTTGAAATAAGGCCTAAACAATTCCGTAACGTTCGAAAACACAGATAACAAATTTACCAAAAACCCCCAGAGAAAATCGCCGAATCGTGGATACAAAAAAATCACCGTAGAATAGTAGTCCTTTTTGGGAATAAGTCATACTTGGTTTTTTTTTTTTTCAATAACTCAGTACTATATGTATTTTTATATCGTTAATTGTATAGGTAGGTGCATCGAGCCCGGAACACATTTCCGAAGGATTGTGCGGGTTCGGTATTTTTGTATATATATTATATTATATTCTAGCTGGGGTCAAGAATTCGACGAAGGATGCAATGGATTTTTTTTTTATCGACATCTTTATGTGTTCCTGTGTTTTTTCCGATTTCTTTATTTTGAACTTCCTGTCTTGTAACAGCGGGAGGTACCTAGGTGTATATCATAACATAGAGATCATTCCATTGTTTCATTTAAGTATATTTATGTGTTTTTTTTTTTTTGTCAATGTTACCGTCCTTCGAATAACGATACAGTCGATAACATTATCGACATCACGTACTTATAATAATATACATACGAACCCTGCCGTGCATTACAAACGAATATTATATTATGAAATACCATTCCTGTTGGTCGATGTCCACGCGGCACGATGGAAACTGATCGATAGGTGACATCCGTCGCCTTATGAGAAAAAAAAAAAAAAAAACGTTACTACTAGGCACCTATATAGTTAGGCACCTATATAGTGACAGTGACCTTGTTGGAAAGTACTTTTTTTTTGCAAGTATTTATACACGTCATTTTTTTTTTTTGTTGATTCACGTTCTACTGTTAAATATACAAAATACGCCATCGAACTATATACCCATATACGCGTGTAGTTTTAGGTCTATATCAGAACCGGCTGCTGCAGCATGCAGTAGTAAGATCGTATCGCAGTTAGCGTCTTATAATAGTTCTAGAAAGTGAAAGGGTATTTTTGTCGTCGTCGTCGTGGGTCCATCGTCACTCGATACGATTTTCGTCCGAGCCGGTCGAAAGGAAACCCAAACCGAAAGAGTATAAAAATGATTATAAAAATAAATAAACCGCCGTGTGTTGTATGGAGTGTGTGCATTATATAGTATATAGGTACTATACAACTACACTTGATAATATTGTACCGAGTGCCTACTTTATATTATTACCTCGTATAAATATAGTAGACGACGTCATGTGCATCAAATATTCGAGAAGCCCAGCGATCGAGTGCTTCTGATGATACGTCCGATACGAGTATTAATATTATAGTGCGCCTACTGTCGTATAATATTCGACGTTTTAAAAACAGATTTTTCATCGTATGTAGACGAGCAACTATATTTATACGTTATTATGTTTTCGTGTAGCGATTTTGTTGTAGAGGTATTTTCTAGTGTGCCATATACGTATTATAGGCACATAACTCGGGATTTCTGATGATGTTTTTCACAAGTGGATATTATCCGTTGATTCGTTAAATATCTACTTAATGACGCCACGAATTTTTAAATTAACTTCCGATGACCTATTGTGCTATAATCGTCGTCGATAGGTATACTCGTAAAATATTTCGTTGGCATGCCGCGCATAATCTGCACATGTTTTTTAAACTGGAATTTTTTTTTTGTATTTTGAGTCTTGTGCTATTAACAAGACACCACACTGGACCTTTACTGAATCCGTGTAACGTTTGGAGCTACAGGATAGCTAAACGGTGGGAGGGGAAGAATATGGGGACCTTTTTTCTTTTACTGCTTATAATAATGTATAGGTATATTATATTATATTATTACCTAATCTCATAAATAATAGTTGTTAAAAATTTAAAAAAATTATCATCATCCCAGCTCGTGACAAAATTATTTACATAGTAAAATTACGTTAACTAAAACGTAAATTGCGGCACTTAAGTTGAAATTAGCGTATAAACACAAACAACGAAATTTAAAGAGTAGGATATTTTCGAGGGCTTTGCATAGTTTTTTTTCTGAGAAATGTCATACAAATAAGTTGTGCTATGCTAGTATTAATTATTTTGTTCTTTTAAATCGCTATAACTTGTTTATAGACAAATGTTTAGAATAAAGTTACATATTGCCCTAGAAAATATTCTACTCATTAAATTTCGTTGTTTGTGTCTATACTTTAATTTCAATCCAAACGCCAAGATTTATGTTCTAAGAGTAAAACAATTTTACTGTGTAACCCGTTAGTAAAAACAGTAGATACGGCGGGTATAGCATCTTCCTTTTGTTGTATTTTTACAGAAGCAGCAGATGTACGCGCGGCTATCCATGACCGACAATTATAAAATAAATAATGTGCGTATATATGTGCCTAATAGAACTTGCCACCTGGTTCCTTAAGTACAATATTTAAAAAAAAAAAGTTTTGTCATAAATTAAGGCACGCATGCCGAAGGTCGCGGAAAATAATTATAAAATCTAATTATTCGGAAAATCGTATAGAATATTATTTTATTTCATTGTCCCGGAGCGAATGCGACGCGGATGTCTTGGATTGCTGTTGATAATTATCATGAAAAAATATAAGTACGTTATACCATCTTATGATATAATATAGAATTATAATTTAAATCTGTGTATAATAATATTATGTATAGGTACTCATATTCAACGTGTTTTTTTTTTTATTATCCGTATGATATAACCTCGAAATTGTGTCCGTGCGTTTGCGTTATATTATCATTCGCTAAAAAATTATTACGAATAATTATTATAGTTAAAACGTTTTTCCTTCTCCCTCAAAAACGGGAATGTTCTCGATTAACTATCCGGTCGGATACGCTCGAACTCTCCGTCCGAAATATCCACGTCACTGTCGTAGTAGTTTATTATGTTTTTAGTTCGAAAATCGTTATTGTAAAGATATACTATGTAAGTAGGTTACCTAACTATATAATATTATGTCAGAATAACATCGCTTGAGTGTATCCCGATGCTCGGGGTGTACTTGGGCTCAAACGATACATATAGGTTCATTCGGTACACACGTATATTTTTTAGGCGAAATGCACGTGCCGAAGCCGTCATACTATTATCATTGTGTGTGACAGCCCCACAGTATAATTAGATGACTTCTTCCAGTAAGATTATAATATAAACAATTTTATAGTACTGACATTGATTACCAATGAGATAAGAATTAAATATTGGCGAATTTTAAATTTAATGGACGTTATTTTTATTAGTAGAGGTATTCAATATTCATAGGCTAGGTATTTTTTTTTTGTAGGATATACAAAAACAAAATTACCAACCTAGCGGGTTGAAACTTTACTTCTTATCACCAGTTAGCAATATAGTTTAGTCTTTATATATGCCATCTATTATAAGTCTATCTTTTCATATAATATATACATCTTGTATAAATACCTTAGCCATATTATTACAATTATTATTAAACGCGCGCGAGTTTATAAAATTCACAAAATGATTTCGGTAATTTTTTGGGAAATAACTTAGATTAAATAATTGTGAACAAAAAAAAAATTAGTTATTAGAAACGGTTGAAAAATATAGGTAAGTAAGTATAATATTATTATATTGTCTGTATGGATACAGTTATTTATACTAAAATCCGGTACATTAGTCAGTAATTTAATACGATTCTAATCGTAACTATTCATTTTTTTTTTTTATTGCGATAAAAAAAATATAATACAGGTACTTATCTATTATTATAAATGTGTACTATATTAAATTAAATTAACGTGTAACGTTCGTTTTAAGACGGTTTTTTTAAAATATTTTTTTCTCCGATCCGTGTAATTGTCGATTAATTATAATTAGGTACCTATACAAAACCTTTTATTTTATTCGTAATCGATTTGATCCGAAATAATCTTCACGTAATACTAATATAATTTTAATTAGATATATACATTAAATGCATAGTCGTAGAAGTCGTCATCAAATGTGTACACCAAGTACTTATAATTCATCAAAAGAAGCCTCTCAACTCTAGGACCATTTTTAGGACATATCAAGGCTTTTAATTATTTCTACCGCTATGCTCATGCATTCCAATCTAATCCTCCTAGTTATTTTTCGAAGTTTTCTTTGACTATGACACATGTTTTCATCTCATTATCAATCTCCAAGAGCTCAAGTACTTAGAAAATACATAAAATGTTGGTCTATGATTTTATCTTGTATTAGTAATGTAATTTTTATTGACCAGTGATTATTATTATTATTGTTGAAAACGTGCTCGGCTCTTATTTACAAAAAAAAAAAAAAATTAATCCTGTAAACCAACCCACCCCCGCAGTATCAATATCTAACTTTATAGTATTATCATGTTCAAAATCATTGTAATTATTTGGTTATTAACCTCACCAGTAACCACATTAAAATTATTATTATCACGAACAATGACGTTTTTATGCATTTATAACTAGCTAGGTACCTGTATAATAAAATTGTTCTCCGGGTTGTGATATTGAAAACCTGTACTGACTTCTAAAAACTCTATTGTTTTGCCGCATATGAAAAGTAAAAGCTACAAATGCCGGAAATTTTAAATATACTCGTAATACAAACCGTTGAATAATTTTCAACGTACGTTTTATCATTAGATTATAGACATATTATTATAAAAAAAATTATTTACCATAAAAAAAAAAAATAATAATAATAATAATAATAATAATTAAAACGATTTCAAGTACATACAATTTTAATTCTTATGGATAAAATACCTATGTATAATTTTTATAGGGATAATATAATTACCAACAGCAATGTTTTGCATTTAATAACAGTTTATTACTATAATATGAAAACGCAGTAAGACTTTTCTTTAGCAATACGAGTTTCTATTAAAAAAAAAAAAAACTATTTTAGACATACTATATTTTATAAAGAAATTTACTTGGACCTTAGGTCAGAAAAATTGTTGTGTTTAGGCGTGCTACAAATTTGAAAGTGATACGATCGCTCTGAAATGATTTCGATAATTTTTTTCCTAATACTCAAAATAATTGTATTACGAAAGTGACATTACAATATTACCATTTAAGTATTAATAAAAATACACGTAGGTATTAGTATAATTTCGTTCGAAAATTAATTATTTGAAAAATCTAGTGAACTTAGTTGTATTTTACTTGTGTATCGGCATGACACTTTAAAATAAGTATCTATAAATACTCGATACTTTCCAGTAAATACTCTATCGTGATGCAAGATAGAATTGCATTTGAAGAAACGTATTTTAAACATTTGTATCGAAAATACTGTCCAGCTCTGCTTGTGTATAATTTACTTTAGGTAATAGCCTATTTTACACGAAATATAAAAACGGAAACCGAATTCTCGAAAACATTGAATATTATTTAATAATATAATGACACTTTCGATAGACGTTTAACGTGATTTGTGTACCGGATATGTATTTTCTAAAATTGCCCATAAATTTGTCCGCAGTCGTTGACAGTGTAAAACGGTCGCGTACAAAATGTTCTTAAGCGGTTAATTATAGTTTACACATTTTTTTTTTCTTCGAAATGTTCCGAACTCTCCAGCCGGCCAATCGATTATCATTGATCACATTTCTGTATATATATACTTTTTTTTTTCATTAGAAAACATCACGATCACTTTTTTTATTTTTATTACAAATCGTCTGTTTACAGTCTATTTTCGAGTCGGGCTGTACGTTTTAAACGAACTACGATTTTTTCGTTTATTACAGCGCAGACGGGTATACTCAGGCGCAATTATTAATTTGTTCGTAGCCGTGCAAATTGATATATATTTATTATTTTTTTTTTATAATCTTTTTATATAGCGACTCGACGACGACGTGTAGTACTATCATTTTTTATATATACCTGCTATATTATTGACTTAAAAATTCTTCGTGTGTAACAACAATAATATACACTCGTATATAATATAATATATCTAGTTGTATAAGGTTCGTCGCGACCGACTGACCGATACCACGCGAAATCCTCTGCGAGACTATTGTTATAGGATTTGTACGTGTGAGCGCGAGCGAAAAAAATATGTAAGAAAAAAACGACAAAATGTGAAAAAAATAATGGTGAAAATTTCGCACGCGTCTAGTTAACGAGAAAAAAAAATCTATACTTTACCAATCGTATATATTATGTGATTCAATGATTGTAGGTGTATTGAAACGTTATATTATATATTCGCCATTTTATAGAGTGGAACAAGTACCGTTTACACACCATATCACGTGGTGATGGTTCAGGTCCGTTTTACCGGAAATAATGTGATTTGCTTATTTACAATATTATTATACACTGCAGCACACATACACACACAAACACACACACACACACGCGCGCGCGTACGAAAACAATGTGTGTGCCTCGAAAAATCGTTCATTGTATCCGAGATAGTATAATAATGTATGTGTGTGTGTTGTGTGTATATAGTTGTTTTAACATATCTGTGATAACATTGTTGTTATATATTTTCGATTCTTGTTTTGTACACTTTTTATTATAGTATATTGGAGTGATCGCTTTAAACCACCGCGTTATTGTAGTTTTTTTTTTTTTTTTCAAAATATTTACTTAATTGTTATTTCAAATATTATAAATTCGTGTGAATAATAATTTAAATCCCTTATAAAGACACGGGAACGAAAATTTATCGAGCTTTGAACGAGTTGAGTTTTGGTACAAAAGTATAATACGAGTATTATATTATGCATCTGGATGCGAAGAGCTGCAGCCAATCAATCGAAAGATCGGTGACCAGAAGCAAAAGATAATATATTATTTTGTATAAGCTGCACCAATACGATTTTGCAATTCTAATAATGTTTCGGTAGGTATATAGGCATTTTTAACCGATTTTCAAGTTTTCAAATACACATTATATTGTAATACTTAATCGAAGTGACGGTTTTACAATAATAGCCTCACGTTTAAAATTGAAATACTTAAAGAAAATACAAAAATGTTAAAATTAAAAATCTTTAAAGTTTTCGGGGTTTTTTTTTTTTTTTTTTTTTGGTGGGGGTGGGGTTTTGTCACGTTTAATTCGATATTTTAAGATATTCACGAGACGTTAACCCCATCACGGTATACATACTCGAATCTATAAACTATGGGTTTTGTCACGTTTAATTCGATATTTTAAGATATTCACGAGACGTTAACCCCATCACGGTATATATACTCGAATCTATAAACTATAAATTATCTACACTGATACGAAATTCCTGAAATTACGTCGTTTCAACGACAACGAAATGAATAATATTTTTTGTTATCATTTTTAAAACGCGTTCCTGTAATATTATAATAACAAAAAAGGTGTTGCTTCGAAATAGTTTTTAAAGAAAACTGTAAAAGTCTGGCATGTACAATTTATAAAAGTATACCAGTAACAATACCTGTATCATCGTGTTGGGCTGGAAACTCGAGTCGATCACGTGCATTTTTCGCGAAACACCCTTGACCTGAAATAAAAATTTAAAAAAACATATATTTTAATAGTTTCCTGGTATTTTGCTATAAGTCGTGTCGGAAAAGTATAGGTATAATACACGGATGATTCGGATTCAACGTGTATGGCGTTTTGAAATAACACATAATAATAATAATAATATGCTCGTTGGGTTTCTATTATTATTATAAATTGAACCAGTCGTTCGTGCATCAGTCTTCGCGATACGATCTTCTCGATATTATTATAAAGTCTTCTACCGCCGCCATCACGCTAATGAATAACGCGTATAGTTATTATTACAATATGATGACATACGGGTTCGTTTAGAAAAAAAAAACCGTGCTTAGAGTTGTTTTTTTTTTTCAAAACGTTAACCAATTAATCGTTTGTATATAGGTAGGTAAGTATATCGTATCTCACATAACCGTCAATTAGTCAATAAAATAATTTTAAAACGCCGGCATTTGTATTCTAATAAGTTATAATATACCCGTACGATATGTACCCACGGGTCGATTTTAGTTTCCGAAAGCAGCGCTTAATGTATTGCAACTACGAGACATTCCACTTTAAAGTTTGAGTTGGGGAGAGTAGTGGAGCATGATTTGCGTGGCGGCACAGCGCTACTCTCCCCTACCTAAACTTGAAAGTGAAATATCTCGTCAACGGATTGACCGAAATCAAAAATTTCAACACCAGAATTTATCCAAACGAATTGGATGGATTTCAATATAGATTGTCGTTTAAAAATTAGATAGCCTGTTCGGCCCGAAAAATAATGGAAATGTAATATTTTAGAGATGCTGTTGTTTCTTAATAGTTTTCAAACAGAACAATCACGATAAAGTTAATACTTTCCTAGAAATATGATCACGCGATCGCGAAACACCCTGTATGTATGTATGTATGTATGTATGTATAATATATATATTAGAAAGCTGCGGAATGACTGCCGGGCGAATCGATCGCGCATGTGTCGACGGCGCATTGTGGCCGTCGGTTACGCATGCATACGAAGAATGTGAGTCACATTCGTCGCTATAGCGAGTGATAGAAATGCGATAGAAGAAAAGGAAAAAAAAAAAACAAGTAAAAAGCTCGTGTAGGTATGCCCGTGTGTGTGTGTGTTTGTGTGTGTGTGTGTGTAATATAAATAATATTGTATGTAGATCGGCGCCGCGCCGCGATTCCGTGGGTTGCACAATATACCTGGGTATGTATGTTTTCGGATGATGACGAAATACACTCGTAAAATCGACTCGGAGCGGCCGCGGAACCGTGTTCGAGTATAATAATATCGGCTCCGCGGTGGGTATACGGTTTTGTTATTATTGTTAATTTTTTTTTTTTTTAAACGAGCGTTTTTTTTTTATTATTATTATTATTTCCGTAGCTCTCGCGTGCGCCACGACAATGGCGCGCCGGTATACTTTGTCCGTCGTGGCCGCAGAACAATCGAATAAAAAAAAAATAATAATAAAAGCTCTCGTATTATAACAGTCTACGACAACAATATTATTTGTACATCGCCGCCGCCTACGTTTACCGGATACGAATGTACGCCGGTACCCGAAGCCGACAATCGCATTGTATACGTGTATAATATTTTGAAATGTTATTTACGCGGACGAAAGTCAAACGAAAAAGAAAAAAAAAAACCAAACAACCATTTCGTAACACGACCCGACTGCAGTTCGATGCAGTAATTGCTGTTGCAGTCGTCGTCCGTTCTCATCTGGCGAGTATTTGAATACCATACTTAATATACGGATTTCGTATATTATAATAATATACAAAGTCCGCGTTTTCCAGTAACAATAAAAAAGGAGAGGCATTCCCGAAAACTTTTTCGTTTTTTTTGTTTTTCTTATACAACACAATCGGTGTTAAATACAACTTTATTTTCGCGCGCTCGGTGCCCGGTATACTGAAGACGTTTCGCGTATAGGCGATTTTAACGAATTCTCGAGGGGGTTACAATATATTCGGATTTACTTTCTGTGTCATAAACGTACAGGTTTAAATTAAATTCTGACGCCGAGGACGTGGTCTCGTAATGAAAAAAAAAAATATATATATATATTTTTATACAGTCACCAAAAAATATATTTTTTTTTTAAAGAACTGCACATCGTGACGGCATCTCGTAATAATCCATTGAAATTATTTCATTTTCGAACGTGTTTCCCGGGTATAAGTCACTCATACGGTCGAGGTCCCGTCGGGGAGAACCCGCGAATCATGGTATTTACTCGTTTTGGTTTGCATGTCGTTGGTTGTTTAATCGGAATTTTTTTTTTTAATATAGACTCGTCTACCGGCACGCAGCAATCCGGTAAATGATTCGTAGTATAGTTCCGAATGCGGTTATGGAGTGTAACTACAACTCGTAACTGTGCTTCGGGTTAGTCCGAGGGAAAAAAATATGTATATCTGCTTACCTCATGACTACTTACGGCGCGGCGTCACGAAGTTACCGTTAAATTCGTGTTAATTCTTTGCTCGTTATAAATACACATTTGTATTTGCAACGTTATGCTACATTATGGTAAAAAAAAAAAACCAAATAGAAGCAAATATTCCTACTTGCCCTCTCCCCCTCTGCGAACGCCCACGACCAACGGTATTAATAATAATTACCTAATTATCCTATAAATTCAAACACCATGAGTTACGATAGTCTCGTAGCAATTAATAAGTTATTCATTTATTCGTATAATATATTTAAGTACCCGATAAAAACAATTTGAACAATAATAGTGATTCAACTCCGTTCGAAAAAAGAAAAACAAGAACCGAGCTTTTATATTTTTTTGCACAGTATCCACGAGGCTAATATTTCAAGCTAGGATAGCAAGATATAGTAAGCTTATATGAGCCATCAGGATTAATGATAACCGAATAGTTTCTATCGAACCGTTCGAACTATTCGATAGATTGAAAACTGTTCGAACAAGTATAGAAAAAAAGTCTAGTGACAGTACTGTTTAATTTTGTTTTTTTTACGGGTGCTATTCATCTCGAATGTATAGTCACGAGCCTTGTTAGTAATCATGATGCAATTCTGATTACTGGTTTCACATTTCCTATAGAGTAGCTTGAGCGTTATTGTAAACCGCTCTAGCTATTGAAATATAAATTTGAAGGGTCTGCAGGGTGGCGGTTTATTGTATTGACATAAGGGGGCTGGCTAGCTCTGTGATATCTGGACTGTAAATAATTATATTGTGGCGTACCGTGCACTCGCTTATTTTTTCAACGATGATACACGAACGAAAACATTTTAAAGTAAAATACACACGTTACGTCCTCCCTTAAGATGAACGACATCAACGCTCTACCTACAGTTGAAATTAGATCACAATAGTGTCGACCCAGGATTGTATGAACCGGGTTAGTAAGCCGGCTACTATCCTTTATGGTTTGGAAAAATAGCCTCGTGTATTATCGTTTGGCGGCGTTTTTGATCTCGTTTTCAAGATTAAAGCGCTAATAAAAAAAAAAAAATGAAAGTAATTTTCTAACCGCCCGCGGTAATTCGTGTCTGTATATTATATGACTTTCAACCGACGGCACTCGGCGGCGTATAGGAACCGTGCACTTATAATATATATATATATATATAAATATAATAACGTTTTTACTATTTAAACAAGTAACGTCAAAATATGAAACAATCATTTTCAAGAGTTTTCTAGATATTTGCATGAAATATTCACCATATGCGTATAGTTGGTTTAAACACTCTTGTGTAAAACGTATATACTTTCGGTAAAACAAATACTGTGTGCATGTTTAGAAAATTCGCGTCCTTGTGTGTAGATATTTGTTTGAATTTTACGTGTTATTATTATTGTTATGTAAGTATCTACCCTAGATGGTGAACTCGCAGCAGTGCGTACAACCGCGAATATAATATTATGCGCCTAACATACAACCTACGCCCGCAGTCCCGCGACGATGATGATTAATAAAATATTTAATACTATGGTAACCGTTGATAATTATTTAATTCGCGAGGTCGGTTCTCCCGACAGAACAATATAATGTTTACCTAACAATTTATTATTTAAATTTCAAACTTTCACGATCGCGCGAACGTCGTCTTAATCGCTGCCGCCGTTTTCTTTTCATTTACGCCTCTCTCCGCGCAGATATGTACTTGCGGCTCCACTGCCCCAGCTGCATTTCCTTCGGAAATCTCGTCGCGAAAAACTCGTACAATTAACGTAAGGCGTACATGTGTTTATTATTTACAAATTATAGTAATCTGTTTGAATGATGAACGTATGTATTGTGGGATTAGAAATAACAATAATAATATAGCGTGTATATTTTTTACAAGTACTTAGTATTTCCCACAATAATTAGAGAAATACGATTATTACAATCTCAGCGTTTTTATTTTTATTTTGTTTTTTTTTTACAGAAATTTATTAGAATATTATGTTTGTCAAGTTCAAAATCACTATACATTTTATGATCCGAGCGTGGGAAAAGCCATTTATAGTTTTACCGGTGACGTGTTTTTTTTCTTTTCGTAAACACCTTTTTCAGTTAGTAAAAATCTTCGATATTTTCACGCCATACTTCAAAAAATGTGGATTTTCCGCGACGGGACGCGACGGTATAGTTTTGTCTGGAAATCCGTTACGTGTTCCGTAAATTTTTGTCGACAATTTAAAAACACTGAAAACGAAAAATGACGCTATTTCGGCGGTTTTCGATTTTCGGTGTATCTATGAGCAATACAATCCGCGCGTTAAATCGGAAATAAATAATAATAAAACAAAACGACAATAATATTAAGAACCTAATGAAAACGAATTGTATTTGCATGTACATACACTTATAGAAATTCCGGAGAGAAAAAAAGATTCCACGAGGCTTTCGCATTGAACAATAATGAATATACAAAAAAAACTTTCCATCGTGAAATATTATATCAGCGCACGTGGCGCGTTTTGAATGACTGATTTGCATTATAAATTGGTTCAAATGTACTCGGCTGTCTGGGCCGTCTACTCTGCCGTTGGTGCCCGCCGGCCTACGTTTGACGAAACCCGTTCCGAGGTAGGTCGGTCGGTAGGTAGGTTGAAAAGTAAATTGTCGAAGAACGAAACAATCCCCGGCCATTGTCGCGAAAACGGAACGGGATACGCACACCTCTTCGAAAGCGTTTCGCATTTATCCGACCGGTAAGCTCGGATTTCGTAAAATTTCACCCGGCCCTCCGACGAAAACGATCGTATACAATGTAAAAACTGCAAGACGCGTATCGTATATTATTATTATTATTTTTTATTTTTGATCTTTGTGTCTTCTACTCGAAACTTAACCTATCGTCCGTGCCGAAACTTTAGCCTGTATATAGTTCTGATGACGATTTCTCTAATCTTTTGTTATTTTTCATCTCTGCACAGCTTAACGGGTCTTCGGGAACCTTGCAGGCCGTTAACACGACTTTCTTTCGTCATCGGTCTCTATTTCTAAATACACATATAAACCTTCCCGGATCAATATTTACCCGTTTGTTTTCCTCCGGTTTTCTATACAAAATTCCGTCCGACCAACGTTTTCTGGGCATTTCGTTTGGCCTTTTAATTAATCGTTATTTCAATACAGCTGTTGTTTTGATCCTGTCTCCATTTTTCCCGCGCATTACCCCCCTCTCCAGTCTGGGAATTTCGATACATTTTTGTTTTACATAAGGTACGGATAATTGTTTCTTTTTTTATTTTTCAAAAATACCGTATTATGCTTTTACATTATAATTACATTACATTATAACGACAACGGTATTTTTGTTTGTTTGTTCATTTATTTTTACTATCTTTGTCAAACTATAACACTAAACAGACGCTATAAATTCTATGTGTAGGTACTCGGGTTTTTGTTTTGAAATACCTTCTTCCTTTTTAGCCACGTATTCAAACGTTCATTACTACTATTATGCTATAGGTGGACACCTATACTGGCAATTATAATTATTACTTATCTATACTTACGTGATTTATCATATTATTATTTTATCACAAACCATAAAATGCACAATTTATTATTATAAATATTATGGAACGTGCCGTTTAATTGTTATTTTTTTTTTTTAAACATTGAATCACATCGCGTCAATGGTATTTTATAATATTTTGTACCATTTCGTTTATGTATTTTTGTAATATTTATATTATGATTATATTGTGTTTTTAGCATTTTTTCGCAGATTTTGACGTTTAAAAAAAATAAAGTTAATCATTTCTCCATAATAAATTAAAAATTTTATATACGTATATATACTTGTAATGTTCAAAATAATTTCCAAAAAAATAATGGACATATTCAACGCAATATATTTTTACCCTACGCAAAATATAATGTTGAGAGAAAAAAAAATGCTAACGCCGCTGATATTTTAGGAAGGAAGTTGAAATGGCGTAGATGAGTAATTTAATTTATATTTGTACGCAACGATAAACCATTGCTAACGAAAAACGATTCGGAGACGTATTATTCTCCAATGTATTAGACAATCCAGAAATCAACAAATAATATAAATAAAAGTTGTTAGATTTTTCCATTTTTCAGGATAAATAAAAGAAAAATCAAAAAATTACCATTCTCGATAGCAAAGTTCTTACAATATTGTTAATAAAAAAAACTGCACTTGCCCAGAATCAGTAAAAAGAAAAAAATTTTATTGGAATCTGTGTGTGACGTGATTTTATACTCGATTGTTTTTTAATAGGTATAAGAATTTAAAAATAAAAAATAAAAGGAAAACGAATCACGCCCTTGTAGTTATTTATTATATACGAAAATTGCAGTTGTCTAAAATAAGCTCTCACTTATTATAATAATAATAAATATTCCATACTCTAAAGGAAAAATTCCATACACGATATAATAATATTAGGCACCATACGAGTGTAAAATATGTCCGTGACGTATATAATAATTATGACTTGTTGGATTTAAAACGTGTGTATGCCCACTTATATTATAATGACAACATAAACCGCAGAAATCTATTAAATGAATTTCATAGAAATTCAGAAAATAAACTTCTGTAAGGTCGTTGCGAAAAAAAAACTATTTATCTTAAGAGCGTTAAGCGACGTGACTGCGATAATTAGTTGTGTTTTTCTTCGAGTACCTACACAAGCCTGGATTAAGGGGAGAGGTGGGTTCAGGGAGGGCTATGACTACTAGTGGCTTTTAAAAAATATACATATAATTGTTTATTTAAATATAATACTTGTAGTTTTTGATTTTAAATCTGTTATATCTATTTATAATTTATTGTTTTTTTTTTTTTGTTAACTTTTTTTATTATTTATTTTTTTGAGGACCTCGTTTAAAAGTTTGGACCCAGGGCATCGAAATGTGTAGATCTGGGCTTGTACCTACTAGGAAAAGGTGCGGACGAAATATCGTAATATTGCGTTTTTCGAACGGGAACAAAACGAAAATATATAAGTATAAAATTGCGTTGTTCGATTATTATTATATTTGTTAACAATAGAGACGAATAATATAACAATAAATCACAGAGTCCGGACGACTCGAGGAGTGCTGCTGCTGATAATATCTTCTTCTTGTTATTACGAGTATATTGTGGGAATCTATAGAAAAGAAGATAAAAAAATACCTTCAATAGAAAACTGGTTCAAATGGATATTAAACGGACACGCGTTCCTCTGTGGCTATTACGGATATAGGTATCTGATGAGTTTATGAACCATCGCGAACAGGTAGTACAAATCGGAGATCCAGACGATAATGTTTTTATAGTACAATAACGCAAAAATAAAAAGAAAAATGCGACGGCTCCAGTAGAGAAGGTGTGTTCATACAAAACGCTATAGGTATCGACTGCACGGACAACGGCACGACCGTTTAAAATATTTGGCGTCCGAAAAACGGACGGTCTAGACAGTGATAACAGTCTAGACTAGGGTTAGGCCGTCCAAAGTCTAGACCGGGGTTAAGCCGTCTATAGTGTCTAGACCGTCGTATAGGTTGGACCGTGGCTTCGGAACGATTTCGACCGAAGGCGCCTAAATTTTGTTGTTTTTTCTTTGGAATTTCGACGTCTCGACCAAAAAAAATCGTAATTGTTATTATAGATAGGTAACCTACATTTATCATCGATCGCCGTTGTCGTCGTGAAATCAGCGGACCGCACGCGCGACGCCCGTCCCGTGCCGGGGATGTCGCCGCCGTCCGGAGTTATTGTACCGTAATGCAATCGTCGCAAATTACGATACCGAAACCACCGACGACGAAGACGTCTCCGTATATACAATAAGGTATCCGTGGCGCGGAAAAACTAAAAAAAAATAATCGACGGTTAGATTGTGTGTATAATTAGATTCAGTAGCTTTAATATAGTCGGTCGCCCGTGTAGTTTAGCAGGGTCAACGAGCTCGCGCAAATCAAATAATAATTATAATAAGACGTCGCGGAGTTGGAAATAAACCGCTCATCTCTGACACGCGATAAGATAATTATTTACTATATAGTTAAAGGTACTCTCGCGGAAACGATATTTCTCTCTCTCTCTCACTCTCTCTCTTTCTCTTTGACCGCATGTATAATTGTCAAATGACACGAAATTGTACGTTTTATCGAACGAATATTGTCACGTGTATAAGCCTAAATAATTTTATTTTAAATCCGTCGTAGTATTATACACTCACGCGAAGCAGACAACTACAAACATACGCATTATGCATAGATAGATTAGGCTGGGTTAGATTATAAAGCAGCATTTTTGCAAAACTACTCCAAAAAATCAAACTCGGATTTGTCAATTAAATATTATTTGGTAATTTCTGAGTTATTTTATTGTTTTTTATAGAATTTCAAAATATATTATTGTTTTTTCGTCGGCAACGCGGTTCAATAAATAAACAGTATCACAGTAATAACTTTTTCCAATTCTGGTTTTTCACAAACAGTTATGGAGATTATACAAGGTCTATTTATAAATACATAAAAAAATGGATGTATCTGCATAGGTCACCATGTATATTGTTAGTAAGTTCAAAAACATAATTGATTATAACATAATAAATACAGTAATTCATATTGTTGATTTTTTTCGCGATTATCTCAAAATATCTTACAAAATGTACATCCGTCTGGACACTGAAAAATAACCAATCCCACAGCGTATAATATCTAAAACTTAAAAGGATCCAATTCTTACCACGACTGTGCATCAGATATATATATATATATATACATATGAGAACATTCAGAATAGTGTATACTATATAATGTATGGATATTATATTTTATATTTTTAGCACGCCCTGCAAAGTTTTTATTTCGCGGTCCATTATTTGTGTGTGTGGTCGTCTGTCTAGTCGAGCACATCGTAAGTTTTCGTAACAATCGCTATACGAGATACATGCTGGACTACGTGTCCTTCGGCGGAAAAGTAAAATCACGCAGACGCGAGAAATAACAATCGTATGGCGTCATGAATTAGTATTATTATTATTTTTTTAATATTGTTATTTTCGCCAGACAAAACGGAATAATTCCACGCCGTGCAATGTAATAACGTGTATCATAGGTATCTACCTACCTACGATCGAAACACAATGAAATAGCTCGGTAATTACCGTTTGTAAGTACCTACGAGTTTTTTGTTCGCCCCATGTATAATGCAAAATTAATAGCAACGATAATTCTGCAATTGAACGCCGTTTCAGGGGTGGAATATAGAAAATGTTATACTCGTGTTAATGGTTTTACGCTCGATGTTTGTGTCAAACAATACCTGTATAATGTACAAAAAATAACAAAATAATACACCTAGAAGATAATTACTACTGGAGAATAAATGGCGATATACTCGTACAAGTCCAAGGTAATACCGCAGAATAGAATTAACTGCAGATAGAGCATTTCGGATTTAAAAGAAAAACCTTGATTATCAAGTGATTATCGGTGGCTGTCGTGGATTATCTTTTCTGCGTTATTGATTCTCAACCGTTTATCACTTATCAGTGACTATTATGACTTATAGAATTGGTTTATGGAAAGAATTAATAAAATGTAAATAATATTATTAAATTTCAAAACATTGTTAAATCGCGAAAGAATCATTCGACACCTTTACATATATCGCCTCTAACCGTCGCTAAAATTGTCCGATTTGGTCCAATTCCTATAATTCCTATAAATTCCTATAGTGTCATTTTTCACCACACGTCTTCTCACCTTATCCTTGGCCTTTCCAAAAGTATTTTATGCCTTTGAGTTCTGTTCCTGCAATACTGACTGGATAGTAATGGGTTTCGGCTTCTCGGAACTCAGGTTGTATCAAAAGATCTTCCGCGATATTTTTCTTTCTAGTGCCAAAAATGTTGTTGTTTTTCAACAATATTATTTTTTGTTTTGACATGCAACCGTGCGCGTGAGTGAAAATACTGCTGGAAACTAGTACGTTAACTGGTACAATAACACGGTGATATTATTTTCCCTGGACGACCGCTTAGTATACGTGTGGATGTACGCAGTATTTAGACAATATTTATCCCGAGTGTGAATTTTCGAATCGCTTTTTCTATACGATAAAAAACGATTAATACTATACACCTAAGATACTATCAGAGTGTTCCACATAAATATTGTATGAAAGGGGATGCGGATTTTATTAAATGGTGCTGCTGCAGTGCGGGGAAAAAATATATGTATACATATTTTTTTTCAATTTGCACGAAGAAAAGAAACGTAGGTACCTATATTTAAAAAAAAAAAAAAAACCGTTTAGGAACCATAATAATAGTATAATATATTATACAACGCGTATTCAATTGGAGCGTGTAAATTACATAATAATAGCTGCTATACTATTGCTGGCTGCAGGTAACAATAATGTGTTTGATGCCGTAGTACCTAGGTATATAAATATATATTACTATAATATATATATAAATATATATAATACGATATCGGTGTGTTTTTTTTTTCAATCGATGAGAGAAAACAGTACATTTTATACGTTAAACGGGCGCGCGCGCGCGCAAAAAAAAAAAACAATCATAATAATAAAAAAATCATATCCCGTGTACGTGCGGACGCGATGCATACGATGTAGATTTAACGTATAGTTTTTCGATCACCTCCGGGATACAACGACCGATTCGATTAACTGCAGGTGTATTTACTGTGTGTGTTATTATTGTTGCGGGCACATGTTCGAGTATGATTTATTTTCGGTTTTTTTTTCTTTTTACGTAATGGGGGTGATAAAAAAAAAAAAAAATTAAATACACGTATTGCAACAGTTCAGAAATGAAATTATTATTTTTATATTCTCCCACAAATTACGTATGTTCAAAATCAATAAATTGAAAAATATTCAAAACGATCGGTTATGGTGGGAATCACATTTGTCTTATCTACAGGCTCTATAGATTACAACTGTGACTTAGGATCACAAGTATTCTTAGATAAAGCAGAATAATCACGACATCGTGGTGTCCTAATAATATCTTATAACACCTGATTGTTGGTAAGATACATTCCAAAACCGATCGTTTTGAACTTGATAAATTAAAAAAAATGTTAAAAGTCCTAAAATAACGAATCAACAAAAATATATGAATGTATCATTTAAAATAGGCATATTTAAATTAAATAATACGATTACTTATTATAATATCTTACAAACTTCAAACTCTCGCTGTCGCCGTAGAACGTTTAAAAATAATTATTTTTAAAATATCGAATGGCAACTAAAAATAGTATACAATAGAAAATGATAAATCATTGCAAACGAAAAACGATTCTCAGCGAAGTTCGGTAAACTGGTAAAGTTACAATATTATAGTCGTGTTTTTCCACACAACCGACGGAACGCCATTCGTCGTAGGTTTTTTCATTTTTAAGAATAACTGTCGGGAATCTAATCACTTCTGATGTATGACAAGAGAAACTATTGATAAAGGCAATCAAGCATTTTTACCATCCAAAATGTTATTATTCGAAGGGAAAAAATACACGTACATCTCTGTAAAACTTGAATAAAAAAAAAAAAAAAACCCAGTAAATTAACCTCGCTTGGTTCTGGTCACGATTCCCGGATTTTGTATAGGGTCTCGTCATCTCCGTCGTCTCCAGTCGTACTATAATAGATGTTGTCGGAGGCCGCGACTTTATTATATTATACACGATATAGCCCCCTAATATACTGTCGTGCTTAGCTGCATCGGTTACCAGCAAGACGGATGTCCTTGGAAATGTCTGAACCGGATGCGGTCCCGTCGTCGTCTGCAGAGACCTCTGTTTGCGTGACGGCTTTTGACCGGCGAATTATTCGTTATCGCAGATACTTAAAATAGTGATGGCTTAACCTCACGTTTATGGGTTTTTTCCTTTCATTCTTTGTTTTTTTTTTTTTTGGTCGGCAGTGTTAGTATTAGAAGGCGACTTGCTCGTATATAGTAAAAAGTCTCGGCGTTTCCCATGATGGTGAGCTACAGCGCGCATAATTTTTTACGTGTATTTTTTTTTTTTTAATCATTTTCCATTCCGCGAGAGCCGAAATCGCACATTACATAGGTATACGCCTACCTATATAGATATTAGGTACATTATATTTGTATACTATTATTATTGCAACGCGTACAACGTATCTCGTACACAACGCAACACTGGCACACTGTCTCGCAGTATAATACGCACTCGCCTCTCCTATATACACGAGAATATCGTACGGTTGTCAATAATAGTTGTAATAATAATAAGTAATAACACATAAACGACAGTCAGCAGCAGCAGCAGCAGCAGGATAACGGTATGTTAGCCATCCAATAATTCCTATCCGGTAATAATCGTGTCGACACGTCGTCGTCGGTGTCGTGGTGTACGAATATAATAATATATAATGTCCGCTTGTGTTTCTCTTTTTCGCGAGATAATACGCGTTTATACGCGAAAAAGTCTTTTATAATGTAATTGCCACTGCGCCGGGTAATAATACACGTAGTTTCGGAATACGGAAATCCTTTGGCCAATAATAACAATAATAATATGAACAAAAAAAAAAAAATGAAAATATCTCCAGTTTATATACAATCAATAACGAGGCGCGTATTTTCCAGCGCGTAGTCGGTTACACAATGTTCTAGCCTAGCTGGTCCACAGTTACTATCGCAGGACACGTTTTAGTGAATATCTAATGCGTATCAACTCTCGTACGAAAAATCTCCACGGGCAGTTAGACCAAATTTTACTTTTAAATTTTGGATTTTCCCCGGTAACCGATTTTTCCGCACCACTGGGAATATTTTCTAAGCATATAAAATATAATATTTTGCTATAAAATCCACCAATTCGATATTGTTCACCGTTTATTTTCCACTGGACACGCACTAAACATAATCTTACTCTGTTGATGGGTGTTCAATGGATTTTACAGAAAACCCCGTTAAAAAATGTGCTGTACTACCGTGATAGTTATTGCTGCAGTGGTAGTACACGATAGTTGTTTTTGACTATGATTAACGATCACGATAGTAATAATACTATCTCACGATGTTTTTTAATTATACGACTATCGCGACAACTGCAACAGTTATCACCGTGTGTTGACCAGTCGTATTAATAACGTGATAATATTATGGTTGTTGATATAGCGTCAGTTTTTTTTTTTTTTTTTTTGGTCGTGCCCTTCGTACGGTCATCGCAGAAACCGCTATGATATACTATCTATCGACTTTCGATTTCAATACGCGTAAACGGGAACGAAACAAAAACAAAAAAAAAAAAAACGGTATGTTGGTGCAGGCATTCCGTGGTTCGTTAATTTTTTTTCGCACACCGCACGCGTACATTTCCGGCCATACATTTCGCTATCGGACAACGTATCGCAGTAAAATCAAACGGACCGCGTGTAGAATAAAAAAGAAAAGAAAAATATATATAATAAAATAAGAAAAATAAGTATCACGCGCGGTCACCTTTATTATATACGACGGCGATAACTATACTGCCGACCGTTTGGTCCGATTACAAATAATACGATCATATCGTAGGCTAGGCACGTACGGCCCCGTCCGCGTTTTTCGTTTATATTTGCACGTCGCGCGGTTGTCTTGGCTCCTCCGCCGCCGATTCGCAATAAACGCGCGGCCCCTCGCGCCGCCGCGTAGACGGTATTCGTCACGGCGAAAAAAAAAAAAAAACAAAACAAAACCCCGGGAAGAAAAGCTCTGAAATATAAGACGGAGAGTAAAAGACGGACGTATTAAAAGGGCACGAGCAAAGTTCCGCCGAAAAAAAAGAAAATAGACTTTCCGAAACAAGGGCCGATTTTTAAACAGCAGCCGCCCGGATTGTACATAATATATAACCAGTAAAACCACGTTAACGTTTTAGAATGTGAGTGTGGCGGAAAAGCTGTGCGATTTTTAAAAAGCGTGTTTTTTTTCCCACGGAAAATTATTTTTCGGTTGGTAAAAATGTTCGAATTCTTTTATACACGCCGTACTTCGAATATGAGGATTATTCGTCCGGTAATATTTTATTTGAAAAAATCGTACAGTTTCTTAAAAAATAATTAATCAAAAAATAAAGCAACAACAAATGACACCGATAATTTGGGTTTATTCCCGTTGATATCTGGATCTTAACCTATATAGGGAAATATACGACCTATGGTATGTAATAAACCTACTGCATAACAATATTACCCGCAGTTTACCGAACTCCGCTCAGAATCTGGTTTTTATCGCGATGATTTGTCGTCACATTTTTTTTTTTTTTTGTTTACCATAAATTTTCGCGCAGGTACACCCGTGCATCTATAAACTAGAAACAAAAATACTGTGTAGCGACACCGCTGGTTTCACGCTTGGTCACAATAATATTTTTGTCCGCCCTGCGTCGTCGCAGAGGCAGTGTGTAAACGGATATCGTGTTCGTCTTAACCGGTCAGTGACGTCGTATTACAGTAATAACAATAATAACGACCGTTTCTCCGTCCGGGCATGACATTTTTGCGCAGCGACTCGCCGAATATTATAATTTATAACGGTCGTAATAATTATTATTTATTTCGAGTATCGTGTTCGCGAACCCATAAGTCTCGTACATGTTATTACATTTTTTTTTAAACCAGGATCGATGGATCGCTATGTATATACACGGCCGAAAACAATAATAAACGGTTCCTCCCTCCCCGTCCCACCCAACCGTTACCCATCACCGAGACTAAAAACACAATTGAAAATTCCGTTTAACTCTGCTCACCACTATTGCTGTTGTTTATGTATTGCTATACATTTTCAAACGGTTGCGTGTGTGTTTTTTGAAAGATTTTATTCCGATGAAAATTGTTTTTTCTTCGCCCAGAAAATTTCCAATAATCCAATACGTATACATGTTTAGACAAGAGACATTTACTATAATATATACTAAAGTAAGTTAAAAATATATATATTAATATAGAGTATGCGCAGAAAAATAATTATGTTCTGCTCAACAATTTACAATAAAAAAGTACTGGGGGGTCAAAAAAAATGTAAATAATAAACGAGATAACAGAAAAAAATCTTTCTGGGAAATATAATTTCTGTCGTATTGACGAAAACAACAACAAAAAAAGATCATCATAAAATACTATCGATACACACGAATCATATTTCGAGGCTGGAACCACAATAGTAATTATATTGTTATTATTATATTGTCGCCAGTTTGGAATAATCAGTCTACAGGGTGTTATTTTTATCGTATTGTATGGACCGGCGATCATAAGCACCCACCTATAAATCAATATCGACTTTTAATTTTCAAACGGCAACTCTGAAAGTTTTGATTTAAATATTCTGGATTCGAAAAGAGAATACTTTTTTTATTTTTAAAACAAATTCTGTTATCGTCACCCGCTTCCATCTCCCTAGAATCCAATAAACGAAACAAAAAACAAAATTGGACGCGCACGTATAACAATCTCGGGGTGTTTCTATGCGTATGACGTGTTCCCGGTATTTTCTCTCCCCCCTCTCTCTCGTTCGTATAAATCAGTGCCCGGCTGGTGTAACGTTCAAAAGAACAACCGAGATAATCGTCTTACTGCTGGCGTCTAGTAATAATAATAAGGCGTTCACGATATTATATACAATTTTTTTTTTTCTGTATACGCCATCAAGAAAGCATTGTGTCGGGTGTTCGCGTATAGGTATACAATGCCGGGCCTTGGGTGGGAGAATAATAAATATTATTACTACATGAGGTCCTCTGCATCTACGCGATGATTCGACATGAAGGAGCCGCCCGTCTTTCAGCTGCAGCAGTGCGGGAATAGTACCGTATTACGGAGAAACGTAAAATAACAATTAAATAACCAATACGAAACGTATGCAAGAAACAAATAAATAAAAAAAAAACCTTCTACGAAAAAACCGAAAATACGCATTTTTTTTTTTACCGAGGCCGTTGAGAGGCTGTTCTTACCAGACTGCATACTAATCGCATACGTACGTCCGGCTCCGTATGTCTACTACCTTCCGAAAATCCAAATTCTCGTGTTCCGATTCCCAGTGTTCTGCGAAATCCTTACATTAACGCATACTCCTTAGCTACTCCTTTAGAAAAAATGAAAATAGTGTTAAAATAAAGTTTTAACGGTTCAATAACGATTTAACTTCCCTCCTCCCACTTAACCCGTGCCGTTAGTTCAAGAAAAAACGTATTTAGCCTCTCATCCCCTCCCTCAATACAAAGTCCTGGCTACGTCACAGCGGCTCTACTACTCTGCGGTTTTCTACGGTCTATTATATACTTGTTCACCGAGAGTGTATACAGTACTGTTGTAGTCATTCCGTCGCGACAGTCCGATTATTTCGTCGCTCCGGGGTTTTCGAAAATATAATATAATAGCCGAATACGTATAATACGCAAGAAAAGAAATCGATTACACCAAATCGACAGGGCGTACTTCCTGCACTGTATGTTGGTATAACGTTAGATCGGGATCACCGGGAAACGGGTAAAATCCGAAGCGACGGGGCCGAAATGTCGTACGATCGTTATTAATCGTTTGTCCGTGTATTACGCTTTAAATGTCGCCGTGCACGTTATCATCCGTAGTCGACAACGTAAATACAACCCCGTAGTAAATTATTTCTCGGTCCCCCGAAGAGTCATGAAATCACTCGACCCGCGCCGTTTTTCTCGCATATTATTTCCCGTACGCGCGCGGTAACGCGGCACGTACGTTTGTTCCGTTTCCAATCCAACGCAACGTCGTAAAATACCTCCCATACGGTATTACGTAACGAACCGCGCGTGATTCCGAGACCTGGGTGTGTCGCCGCCGCGTCCCGGAGTCGTCGCCGTCGTCGTCGCGGCCGCCGTACGAGAGGCTGTTTACCCGTTTCGGGTCACGCCGCGCCGGTGTTCGGCCCGCGGGCGACGACACGCCAGCGATATCATTAAAGGCGTACGCGTCGTGTTCATTCCGGACGGAGATACGGCCGCGTGCTGATATCGCCGCATAGCGACGACCGTAATTCTACATCGCGTTATAATATTCTCTCTCGCGCGCGCCGCGCTCGTATGTCTGCGCAACAACAATACGCGGTTCCTGTGCGCACCGGAGGTATACGCGGGCGCGATAACGGCGTGCGGCGGTGCGTCCTTATTTTCCTCTCCCGGCGACGGCCGGAGCTGTGAATTCGGGAGGGAAAAAAAAAAAAACAACCGAACCTCGAAGACGAGAATAATAACAATAACGATAATGCGTACACCTTATAAACCCGAACACCTGTACTGCCGCACTACCTGTATACCTGCGTGTACGTGTACGTATGTACACATCATCGCGCGTACCTACAAATATTTATTGTTAACGAGGAATGCGCGCTCGGCGACTCCTCCGCCGCCGCTCATCCGATCCGGTCCCCCCTCAGCACGGCTCCGAACCACGGCCGCCGCCGCGGAAGATTCCGTGACCAGGCGCGAGGGACACAACACGACCCGAGTCACGTCGCGGGGCATTTACGACGGCGACGATACCCGCGGCGCGGCGTCACCCGACCGTTACGCCTCTACCCTCCCGCCGAGAACTTTTTTTACTCATCCCTCCCCCCCTCCATCCCGTCGGACATACGTTCTTTTTCGTGTTATATACGATCGTAATATTATCGTAATGTACGATAACGTAGAGTACACTGCTGCGATAATATATTTTTGAAAATAAACGCGAATACGACGAAAAACAAAGACTTGTATTGTAGTAAGTCGGCGGCGTAAGTCTGCAGTGCTGCGCCGAAATACAAAAAGTTCGCTGTGGCGGTCATACAATTTTTTAGAAACTCCAAAAATCATAAACGATATTATATATTGTCAAACAACTTTATTAACATTAAAATATATAAATTTAACGTCACAAATGTACAATAATGAAAAAAAACAAATCCCTATAATGTGGCATGTTTCACATTCGATATTTTGAACTTTGTAAAACGAGTTATTGCTAAAAAGAAATAAATGTCTGGCTTCTAGACCTCATTTGGGAGAGGGGAGTGATGCATAATTCCACTTCAATACGTCACTGTAGTAAATATTTTGCTCGAAATTTCACTAGGCATATTGTTATCAATATAAAATCCGAAATATGTCGCAAGTTATATGTACGGTGAAAATTTCAAGTATCTAAACGAAAAACAAACTCGATTTCGACTGTGAAAACCGGCTGCGCCGCGTAAATATCTCCGTTTCCCCCCTCCCACCGAGGAATTATTTAAGAAAAATGCAATTAATATCAAAACAACAACAACCAAAAAAAATAGGCAATCTCTCTAGTACGACGGCTCATCTACCCACCTACCTACCCACTTTATTTATTTAGAGCGCGTTAAAATTTATTACGAAATTAATAAATCTCAATTATAATAATAGGTATAACGTATTACGGCTAGACAATAATATTTCATGAACTACACGCGCGGGGATAAAACGCTCTTATTAAATTTTATATGTGTGCAAATTGTTCATCCCACCGACCTTTTTACGTACCTATACATAATTTAAACCTTATAATATAACATATATATATATATATACATGATATCCTCTTTGGGGTTGCGGTATAAAACGTATATTCCGACCTAACGTGGTAAATAATTGTTCGCCGTTAATACACTCTATAAAAAGACAGTGCAAAACTCCATTGCATACTATATATACTTATATAATTTATATTTTCTGTACCTCACCACCAGCAGTGAACTTTGTTTCCCCGAGCACAGACTATGTCGTCTGGTATAATACGCGAAAATATTCACGCGTGCTTATAGATAGGCTAATTTCTGCATTTATCAAACGGCGCGACTCGTCATTTGCGCACAGAGAAAAAAAAACTATTGAATATTCCTGAACGACAAACAAACGTGTGTCCCCATAATATGGGATATTTAATCTACGATGATATTTGAAACCGCCGATTAAGTTAAACTAATAAAACGTTGTATAAAAATGTACATATACCTTCTATGCGATACAAGTTCATCATTAGGGAGAAATTTTAATTATAAGTGATTATTTTTCAATTTCAAAAAATTCGTTCTTTCAAATCGTTACAGTTTATTATTTCATGTTTATTTTACATTTACGGCAATGGATTATACAGACGTGGCGACTTTTGTTATATTTGTGCCACTAACACCTACTTCCTTTCTATCGAAAATATCTGAGAACGAAACAGTCGGCTACAAAACATCCTATAGATTTTTCCTGAGTTATCCTTGATTCGTTAAAAAGCGGTTTTGAGATAAATTTAACCTAGATGGGTTAACTGATCATGAAAATGAAATTTATAATCGTTTTTACGCGGTCTTTCCGTCTTATAGACGGATATTTATTGCCAGTGGCTTTTTCCCAGTCGGGCCCTTTCCGTTAATAATTAAGCCGTTCTAATCGCAGAACCGCATTTACGGCAAGCTCCGTCTGTCCATTTTGATAATATTTTTTTAAAAATAATAATAATATATTACAAAGAGACGGTCACCACGTCGTAATCTTTGTTCGTTATTATTATTGTGCGTTTTATTCCTCTGGCTACCTAAATTAATACGACGTGGAATAATAATATCCGTCGTCATCGAGCATTATAATATTATCCGTCCATAAACAATAATAATAATAACACCACGGTCAATGATCCGACGACGATGAATATTACTCCGGCACCGGCAGCGCCGCTTAGCTGCGACCGTCGCGGTTTGTGTAAATATTATTATTATTTTATCTGGAAGACTACGTGACACGTCGGAGCCAACGGTTGGTTATCGGCTGGCTCGCAGAACGTTTTCGGTTAAAACTCGACCGGGCGACGGGGTATTTTTCTTCTTTTTTACAGACCGCAAATAAATATAGAAAAAAAAAAAACACGCAAACTTATTCAGTGGAAACGGAGATAAAAAGAAAAAAAAAAGAGTAGGTAGCTCAGACGATATTATATAATATTATAGTGCGCGTATATACAATCGGGACGGTCACGTATTTTTTTTTTTTTTTATTTCATTTTTTTTTCCCGTCGTCGTCGACTCCGATGTTGTAATGCTATTATAATAATAATATACATCTAAGTAATAATATTGCATGTTTAACCAGCCCACCAGCTGCTGCTGATGTTGTTAGTTGGTAGCAAAATGACGTAGGATTTCGATATTGTTTTACGGAAAAAGTGAAAAAATAAAAATAAAATATATCACCGGTCACGCGTTCGAAAAATTAGCTGACCGCGCGGAATTTCACCGACGCCACGTGAGATTAGATTATTATTGTATTATATAGAGCTGTCTGTGTAAATATAGTGGCGACGATATTCTCGCGTGCTTTCAACCGATCAGGACAATATAGGAAGACGGAATTTAACGCCTGCAAAGTATGAGACTTGCCCAGATTTGGGGGGGGGGAGGTGCCCGAGACTTACGAGAAACAAGGGCCCAAAAAGACCATATTTGAGTCGAACCAAATATTTGAGAACCTTTTTTGTTTTTTGCTTATTTGTTTGAAATTTTACGTATATTTCGTGTCTGATTCTGAATCGTTAGCAACGTCAGAAAACATATTTATACACAATAAAAAAAAAAAAAAAAAAATGATGTAAAAAATATTATTGATTATTATAGAATCGGTCAAGAGAAATGCCATATCGATTACTAATTCACCACTGAGGGAAATACTTCGCGTCGATTAGGTCACAGTGATCGTAACGTTCGTATTTTGACATTGTGAATACGATAAGTGGTGACCATTTAATTGTTATCAGTCGCGATTTTCGGGCAGCCGGATTTATTCCGACCCGTCGGTCGCAATGAAAACAATCGAATTTCTCTTGTACGTTATCATAATGTGTACGGTGACGCGATTTATCGTTGTTTTTGCCGATCTCGCCGGGAGGAGCGAATAGTCAAGTAAAGGGGAACGACGATTTCTGCGCCTCGAGCGAGAAGAAGGGGGTGGCGGGAAGGGCGGCCCGGTCCCCGTCCCTCCGGACTTCGCAAGCCACCCGCCGAAACCGTACGGAAAACGGTATTGGTACGCAGAACACGACGACCGCCGCCGCCGCCGCGGGCGGGTGCCAAATTGTTGTCGCGACAGACCGGGAATGTACAATAGTGTTTTGTGCGCGCGCGCGTGTCTATATGCGTACGCGTTATCCGTAGTTATTTCGCGCGGAAGGGCCGACAAAGTCGCCCGGCCGTATTTGACGTGCGACGTGGATATTTATTTACAAATAACGCGCGGTACGACAATAACATTAACATGTCGCTCGCGCGCGGGCCACGGGAAACGTTCGATGGCAATGACACGTTCGTCCGGCCAAGTTCAAGGGCGTTCTTCGGTCGATCGGTCGGTCCGTCTCTCTCTCTCCGTCTCTCTCCGTCTCTCTCCTCCACGGTTTCGGCTCTCCAGCCGGACTGTCTCTCGCCGGAGAGCACGCCGACATTATTTTCATACCACTAATGATACGCCCGCCCACGTATAATACCTGTGCGGCCGTACTCGTATTTCCAGTGCGTTTATGTACGGATAGCACGGTAATTACGCAATCGCCTCACGGTCGGGTTCGTCGTTGCAATGTAACATTGCGTTTCTGTCATCACGATAACACAATCGCCGAGAACGCCGCACGGAACGCGACTTGTAATTGTTATAATTATGGTTTTTTTTTTTCGCTAAGCACGCGTGCGTTTAAAATATTAACGCGATCCGTTCGCGAGACGGCGGCATGCCCGAAAAAAACCGGAGAAACGTTTTCGAAAAAACGTATCGGTCGTTATTATTCGGCGTATTGCGTTGGCCGCTGTGCGGTCGCAGTTTGGGTGGAAAGTGCCGGCGAGAAATTCTGCAGAAAAATGCAAAAACGCGGTGTAAAAATCTGTGTGATTTATTGATTCATGCTTCCGAGTGTAATTTTAAGTTCGAGATTTCGAACGATTTTATACTGACCGAAATAGTATTTTTCGAGAGATAAAAACATTTTTAACGCCTCGGTAAATCATGCAGCTTCTTCGGTACACTCAGAATCACTGCGTGACATTTAAACAATACAAGCTATGAAAATAAAATAATAAAATATACAAATATCGTTCAATTGTTATTAAATATTTCGATATGCTGAAATCGGCACAAATTAGCAGTTTTTTTTTTTTCTGTAGACGTTTTATTAATAAAACAACACATCAAAAGTGATGTACGAAAAAATAAAATACATTAAGGGCGAGAGGGGTATAGTAACATTCTAACATCGTCTACTGACATTCGTCTGTAGTTTTTTCCTGTACCTTTCTGTAAGTATTATACAAGATGTATATGATACTATATGTGTTTTCCTATATATGTTTCGAAATATTCGAAATTCCAAAGAATAAACTAAAAAAATAAATAAAATCCATTACGAATAAGGGAGAAAAATATAAAAAAAGCATCACAAGCTGCACAGATGGGTTTCGATACCGTGACAGGATACTGTAATATTCGTGAGCTCGCGTTTGTTTCACGTGTATTATTCGCGTGGCAATAGGGAGAAAAAGCGAGTAGTAATTTTGTAAATTTTTTTTTTTTTTCTATCAATAATATGGTACGACATTGTCAAACGGTTTTTTTTTCCTACACCAATTATTCGCTATTAGGTGCACTCGCTTCTGCGTTATTAACCGAGGCGTTTCGAAAGTAAAGTTATTCGCGGAATTCTGTATAGTAACGCGAATAATAATATTATTATCGTCGGTAGGTATAATATAATGTATAGGTAATGTAGGTACGTGTATGACGCCAGTATGACGAAATACATCTAGGTTCAATTTTTTTCTATTTATTTTTTTTTTCCAATAGGTATAATTAATATAATTGAAACGTATTTTTTTTTTTTATACATACATATACTATTTTTTCGCGTTAAACTACGCGCCTCGTGATCGGATTTTAATAATATAGATGACCGATCACTATAATTATTAATAATAATCGACAACCGCACTAAAAACGTTATTGCAAATTAATGTATACATAGCAGTATTATAGGTGGATACTTATGTTAAAAATATGTTTACAAAACGTCGTCGTAAGCGACCAATCGCAATAATACTATCCCGAATAAATAGATAAAAACATTACGCGTTTACGGATCATACGGGTTCAGAGTGTAGCTAAAAGAAGCCGCTATAGTTTCACTAACATTTAAAATGTTTTTTTTTCTTTTTTTTTTTTTTCGATAGTACTTTTGCGGTTCTTAAAAATGTGACAAATCGTTCGCATGTCATACCTTAAATGACGAGGAATATCTGTCCGGCGGTATTTTATATGAAACATTTGTTTATAATTTCCCGACAGTTTTCTTTTACGCGTACATTAAAATATGTGGATTTTTCGCCCGATGAAACTTTATTTTAAGATAATTTCTAGATTTCCTACGATCGACAACAAAATATGTCGATACATAGATTTTATTTTTGTTGACAGTTTAATATTAATCCGATCAGAATCGATTGCAAAAAGGTATACTAAGGCTCATAACATTAAAACAAAGATTCTGGGGATTTGTTCCAATCACGCTCCTCCACAACTATACGCCATGACGACGCTTCTAATGAATGGCTTGCAGTAATGTCAATGTTTTTCTATCGTAAGTCTTCCTTTCCATTTCCTGGTATGAGTTACACTCCTGATCTTTCGTTATCCGACCGATGTATCCGCATTACGACCGTGATCTACCGCTATGGTTTTTTATTTCTAATATTTCTTGCAAGACTATTCCTAGCAACCCTCCGTGTCTTACAATATAACTATGCCGCCGCGTTATGACATTTGTTCACAATCGTCTTATTTCTGAAACCCTTTCCGAAACTTTTTCGTCAGTGACCCTATCGCAGTCTACATAATCTTTCACGTAACTAAGGCGGAAAAAAAACTGGATCTAGTGCACTTTTCGATGACCAGAAATCGAAGCGAATGATATGTTTATAGCGACTAGTGACAACAATATTATAATACTATAGTGGCGGTGTTGTCAAAGATTAATATCTAGTTTTATTTTATTTTTTTTTTCTAACAGTTAACCGGTTTCTTATTTTGCACCATGTGCTCGCATAATAGTTTTTACGTAGTGATACACGAGCATTCGCGAGTGTGTAACGATTTTATAATATTACTATAATGTGACGTATACGTTTATAAATAATAATATTTGCCTTTCACTAATCAATTTTGCATATATTGTCATTATTATTACACGTAACAGATATTATTACGGTCGTTATCGCGCGTATAATATCAAGGATTAATATCACGCGATTGCTATATAAAATTACAATATTATAATATCAATATGTTTATTATATGTTTATATATAATATATATATTACAACACAAAAGACGTTCGTCGCACACAATATATGGGGCACACGTCACCCATAAAATAACGTTCGTCTAGGTCGAAGAAGTCACAACACTACAGATTGTTTGAGGGGTCGCGTATAGGCAATTTCAACGGAATTTTCGCAAAATTAAACAAAAAAACTAAAATATTCAATAGTCAATTTTCGTATTGAATTTTAAATTATAGTCCTTGTAGTGTGTGATAGGTGCCCTCCTCTACAGGAGAGCACCTATCGCCTTGTCGTGAAATTATACTTCAAAGACGTATTCGTTTTGCACATTATGACCTATTAATTGAGACGTATAACGTCTTTATATCATTAGAAAATATCGTATTCAAGGCAGAGATAAGGGAAATATATTTTCTCCCTTGATTTATTTATTTTTATTATCTGCCTACTTTTTAGATTTAAATTTCTTTACTTTTTAATCAGAAAAATTAAAAATGTATTGAAAGTATTGGCCTAGTTAGGTGCCAAGTCAATTTATCAAAAGACCCGAGCGTAAAAGTACATTTTCTTCTTTAAAAATGAAACCTATATCCGTATTATTATAATACGATGACGGTTATATTAGTACCTAAATAATATATAAACTAATGATACAGTTTGATACAACAATAAGACACAATTTCCAAATTCAATATTTCTCTCCTTGGTAAAACTCTGAATACTGTAAATACTCACAATAATTGATATTAAATTTACTCGAATGAGACTATAAATCTAATTGAAGAGTGGCTTTTTAACTACTGAAAAAATTCACATATTTTTTTTTAAAAATCAACATTTAATTAACGAGTATATTATGCAGTTCTCATAATAGATAAAGTCTCATGAAGTCTTTAGTTTCCTTCATAAGCCGTTTTACGCTAAATCATGCTCATTTCAAGATAAAACGATTTTTCGACACGATTCTATACATATTTTATAATGTTTTCAAAAATGATCTCACGCTTATTTTTACCATTATTCTTATTATTAATTCGGTTTTTTTTTTTTTTTTTACAGAATATTTTTCCAACTGCTGAAAAAAAAACAGTGCCAAACAGTTGTTGCTGATTTTCTTTACCGTAAGTATTTTTACTGTTATCCACAACACTTTTAATTAAGACGATGGATCTGAGTGTCTCGGCCATTCTTCATTTGTATTGTTTAGAAGTTTTATAATAATTACACAAATTATTTAAACAATTATTCTAAAACGAAAAGTATAAACTATTGCTTTTATACGAAGATTAAAATATGATTACTTTCTGTTATCACAATCTTTTTTACAGCAGCCCAATCATCATAATATTATAGTAAAAGATGACATCTGTTAGTAATTAATAAACAAATATTATTGCAATAACCGTGTGATGAAACTTCGACAAATATTAAGTTGTTCGGTAATGTCGAAAGTTCATAAAAAGTGTATTAATAAATCCAGAGGATGTTCTAAATTAACTATTAGCTCTATTACTATGATGTTTCTACTCGTAACAAAGTATTATATTATAGTAAAAATATTATATTACCTTCAAAAAAAAAAACTGTTTGGCATTTGTATTTTTACGTTGACAAAATATTTATCCCCACGCCGCATTGACCTAGCCCTAATTACGCCATTGACACTTGATTCATTATTCTCTATGGGTATACCCACTATAATACACACTCGTAATAATAACGATGTACGATATCGTATGTGTCGCCAATTCAGCTTCTGTACAATTATACGCAACTAACAAGACTGTATAAATGTTTAAATAAGTGCATACACGAGGGAAAGTTCGATATAATAATGACTGTGCCCTCTGTATATAAAATACGATGTACTATACCTGTATACGTAATTATTATTACTCGGTTTGATTTCGACGGGCGTCCGTCAACGCGTTTAATACAAAAATATAATACTTAAGTATGTATTTAGGTACCTATTAAAAAAATAGTAATATTTTGTACTTTCGTAACCGCGCGTTTCGAATCTCGTAATAGGTACGCGACCATAATTATTTATATTATACCTAACACTGAAAGGCTAACATACTGCATCGAATCGCCGGTTGAACAAACAATGGATAATTTTAAGTGAGCGATTTTACGTTATAAGTACCTAGAATACCTGGGTAATATATATAATACTGAACTTTGTACCTTTTTGTAAAATATTTCAAATTTCGTGACGAAATTCGTTTTCATTTTACGTGTCATAACATACAATTATTGCACGGTGCATAGCATTATCTGGAACGCCAAAAACCTGGCAAAATATTATGACGTTTCTGATTTTACTTGAAATACTCGTATTTTAAAAATTAAAATTATATCAGATTTTAATTTCGTTTAATACCGTTTCAGATACCCTGACACCCTATCTTCTAACAGCGCTCCTAGATTTCTTGAGTCCGTATAAAACACATACATACATTGTATTTGTATGTACAAATACCGACTCGAAAAAACGTACAAACGTATAATATTGGTTTCTATACAGACAACTGTTTCTCGTATATTATTGTATAAGACATTATCTATTATTATTATCGCTGTAAATTCGTACCGTACCGATAAAAGCTTAAGACGTCGTGTGTTTATATTTTGATTGATTATAGTTACACACATAGGGGGTTGCCAAGGGAATTTTCGACGCGTATTCCGTCGGTTTCCGGAATGCGTGTTGAGTAAATGCCGGAAGGAACGGGAGCTAGCGAGCACAATTATGATAATACCCTATAGTATATTATTTCATCTAGTGTTCTCTGCATTAAGATTTCCGAGCACAATATTATATTATAAACGCGGGGTTTTCTTTTTTCCTTTTTTTTTTTTTTTATTATTCATGTTGGTGTTTTTCAATAAATAAACAAATGATCTAAATGTTTACACTCAACGCGGATAAAATATATCGTCTTCTGGATTTCATAGGCACTCGTATTATACAATTACATGTGAGTATTATATATGTGTGCTGTTACAATACATTATTATTATTATTAGTATTATTATTGTTAGGTACTTATACAATTTGTAATCTGGAAGGTATATGCATTATGCGCATATCAACTCATATAATATTTGCTATCATTTCGATTTAAGATCTGTTAAAACGATCTGTGACCGCAATATTCGATTTCGAAAAATGATCGCGTTTAACCTAGTAAAACTAGGTTAAACGTGGTTAAAAAAAAAAAATATTAAACTTCGTCAATCGAGTTACACGAGACTTGATTTTTTTGTTTTTATATAAATTGATAAAACATAATCGAAAAGTAACAAAATACATACCTACATATTCATATAGTGTATCGTGTTTAGACTGTTTTAAGTTTTAACACTATCGGTGCTGCAGCAGAGTGCTGTTCCCAAGAGTTTTGGTATTTTATTAATTTCCATTTTGTTCACGAGTACTCCAGAATCCCTATCATTCCTCGTCAATATTCGAAAGTATATGAACGTATCACCCGGCGCTTATAAAACGAAATAATTGGATTTTGTTCTTATATTATACACATACATTACTCAGTAGTGTACTATTATCTCGCGAAATTTTTGTAAACTGTGTTATGACGAACTCTTTTATCATCGATCCATACATTTATCATAATATGCTTTTATAGTGAAATAATGAAATTAATGAAAATGTTAACGAAAAATCATTTTGCACAGGTAGAAACTCTACTCAGTCTGTGAATTTAGTTTATATTAAAAAAAATGTTCACTTTAAAACAGACAGAACTTGCACCGTGCTAGTCAGTTCTAGTTTTTCGATATCAATATTACGAAAATAGATATTTGAGTTTGAAACATTTAAAACATTCAATTTTTTTAAAAATAATAGATCTTTTTGTATTTGTAATAGTATAAAAATTAAACCAACGTCGCACAGTGCAATAAGTTCTCCTTTGTCTACAGTGAAAATTTGATTTCTTAATTATACCTAAACCACAAATAGTCTTTTCTCTCGAAAAACAGTTATTACAAGCGTTAACACTGCACGTGCATTTGTTGTCTCCGTCTTACTAACGTACAGTATTTATACTACAGTGTAGCAAATTTGCGTTCAGCTGAACCAATTTTGCGCTGTTAGATTTTATATTAATCTGAAATGACCTATGCTCAAACTCAGAGGGAAGAACATTATCTGTGTTTTTATATTATGTGTTGTTTTCGTTATATTAATTTTCAATCGAACAGTATAAATTGTGATATTACGCACACTCGTGGTTCGCTTGAAAATTAATAAAACGCAAAAAGCTAATGCGAATAAATACATATTTTAATGTTCTTCCTTTTAAACGCAAATCTGCTATATCGCGCATTTGTTAGGCGGCGACAACAACGAACAAATGCCGTCTTTTTCACCCAATGATATTTTCGTTCGCCTACTCTATTACGTGTCTCGACGTAGTTGTCCGGACAATATTTCGGAGCATCTTAAATATCACGTAGGTATTTAATTGGGATTTATATTGAAACGTTCGTGATCATCAGTCGGACGATCATATCCGTGGACCGAGTTTCGATTCGTAAAACCGTAATAAATGACCGCAATCATCTTTCGTCTCATTTTATTTTATTATCACGTATTTATTTTGTATATTATGATATACCGGGGTATACAAATATTATAATCTCGCCCGCGGTACGTTCGACTCGGGGTGCCCGGTCGGCCCGCGTGACGGATTATTTAGTTGGTTACGGTGCGCATATGAGAGGTCGCCGTTATCATTTACGACTCGTATATTACACCATCCTTGTATTATAATAATATGCCTAATAATACAATATTATAGTGGCCGTCGTCGTAGAAATATCGTTTTATGTATCACACATAATATAGTAAATCCGATTATAGAAATACGATCCGACCGCCGCCGACGACGCATAGCTGCTGGTAGGTAAGTATAGATAGTGTAATAATAATAATAATAATAATAATAATAATAATAATGATAATAATGATAATGATAATAATAATAATAATATTCGACTATAATGCGGTCGGATGTTATTGCACCCGGGTTCAACGGACGCGCGCCGATACATCGAAATGTGTCTCTGTCTCGTCGTCGTGTGTGTGTGCGCGCGCGCGCGCGCGCGTGTGTGTAGTGCGTATAATACGTATATATTATTATTGAACATTTGTGTGCGTGCGTTTCCTCGTGTTTGTGTAAGTGTATAGTATGCGTTTGTGCGAGTACCACTACGTGTATTACACGCGCTATCATAGGTGTGTGCGCGTCGCCTAGGGGTTAATGAGAGACGCCGTTTCGGCATTGGACAAGTCGCACTCGCACACGCGCACGCAAACACTTTGAGACGACTGCTGCGATCGTCGCCGCCGCCGTCGGACGCGCGCGTAGCCCGTCTCATCGTACCCGTCGACGTACTCACCAGGTAGGTATCCGGGCGGACGAGGGGCGCGCGCGATCCCGTCGTCGTCGGCGCGTATTATTCACACTTTTCTGGTGCCCGCGTACGTGCGAGTGTGTCCATTATTCCCATTATTATTACCATCATCCTCCTCCGATCCCCCCCTCCCCTCCCCGCGGTACCCGCGACCATTGTTTGTATATACGTATGCGTGTGCGCGTGTGATACGATATAATAATAATATAATAACGTGTAATATTTTATAACACTACATGTGGGTACCTATATATTATTGTATTATACATTATTATAGAAGCTGAGGCCGGTGGTGATGCGCAAGACGTGACAAGGTCCGATAGTAATAATAATAATAATAATAATAATAATAATAATAATAGTAATAATAATAGAACCGTTTGGATATAATATGTATAATATGCGCAGGGTGCCCCACCAAGATGTATCTTGTACTCCTACATAGGTTTATGGAATTATCAACATAATATGCCGTCGTTTGAAAATAAAAAGCAGATAGTCGTTTGACTCCTAAATATAACGGTACTGAACATATTTTTAGAGCGGCTTGTTTTTTAAAGCGTAAAAGTATAAATTTCGAAAAAAGTTAATACCTTCCGAGATATCGCAATGGTCGGATATCGTGGCACACTCCGTATATAATATTTTATGTAGTATGTACAGTAGCGTAATTTGGACGAGGAAAGATGGACAGTTATTGAACATTTTATAAAACGGGACGTACGAACTTATTAGTAAGGGTGCGGGGAAGAAGGTAGAGTTTAGAATAAAAAAAAAAAAAAGTTAAATGCAAGTACAATATTGTTTTACATTCAAACAATACGACTAAAAAATAATTGGTAGATAGAATTGTAGACATTACAACAAACAAACAAATTATTGTACAATATGTATAATAATAGAGCTACTCTTATTGGCTTCGGAGTCATTTCAATCAGTACGTTCTCTGCAGAATATGTTGGTACATTTATATTATGGGCTATCATCATGACCAGTCCATTTAGTCCATATTAATGAACACGTAGTTATTAGTTACGCGTTATGTTTGTAAGTATGCTAATTCGGGAATCGTAAATATACATCTGACATCGTATTCCGCAAGTATCGTTCATACTTTCGTATAGTGAACTTTAAAATACTGAACATGTATTCAGGCGTATAGTGTTCGATACAAGTAATACGTACATAATACTTTGATCTAATGAACAAAAAAGGCCAAGGAGGTGGGGAGAATTCGACAACCGGATGTCTGCCTAACTCGTACGAAAAACTGTGCTCGGTGCGTACCACGATTATAGATACTATGCGATTCCCTCTAATATTAAAACTAACGGCACACGGTTGTCCCCTTCTGAACTCAAATTGTCGCACGATCAAATACATTTGTTTAAGACGAAAACAGCACGCGCGGATTTTTATAATATTATTCAAATATTTGTCTCGCGCGTAACGACTGTTTATTTTTATAACGATATGTATAGTTTGTTAAAAATGCAATCGTGTATCGCTCTTTTCTGAATATCGCTGCCGCCGCGCGTTGTGTTTTCGGTACATTTCAATCGTCGCCGTGTGATAGCGGCGAACAATTTACTCGGGTCCGTAACATTGTACATAGGTACGCGTGCCTACATAATAATAGTTATACATTTGATACGGTAAAAATGTCCTCGAGAAAACACGTTGAACGTAATATCCTATGCGGCGTTTATATTCTCACGTAAAACTCGTTTCGGAGCGTCTTGGGGAAAAAATAAAAACGTCTTTAAGTAAACAATAATAACATAATACAGTAATACAGGTACACTAGCGTGTACAATATTATTATGTGGGCACACAATACTGGTCCCAAAGCACGTCCGTCGTGTAACCTATTCACGCAGGCAGGCGCAACAGGTCTGCCGGCGTACGCCAGCAGGGACACCATAGAATGGAATAAAATATTATTGTGTTGGTCATTGTCCGCGGAGCAAAGGTTTTTACGGTGCCCGCCGTCTGGCGCTGAACAATCGACTGTAATGTACCCCATCCGGGCGTATAGGTACCTACAATAATGGCCTTTTTATTCGTTCGCCGGTTATATTGTGCTCGCTGTTCGGTTATTTATAATAATATAAATCCCTTTTAGTCCGAAGCGTTTAAATCCCCCGTGCGTACGTATTCCGGTGATTTAAACGATATTGCACTGCCGCCGCCGGACACGATTGTTTCCAAATACTGAGTGTGCCAACGCGGCCAGGTAGGTATTATTGAGACGTATTGCTGTGTAGGTACACACAGAGAACCGTGTAAATCGCGACGGCCGTACAATAACAGTTTTATTTGAAGTTGAGCTCTCGGGATAAAATAATCGCGCAACCACCCATACCCCGTATACAACGCACAATACACGTAGAATATATTAGATTTCAGATAATATACCGAAATATTCGTTACATAATGTTAAACCGTTTATTTTGTATTTTTTTTTTTCTTTCAAGACACTGCATTCCATTGACGAAAAACTACTATTGTGCAATTGGTACAACATACGATTATAGTATTAATATATCATAATGAAATATATTGTGTACCCAAAACTGGTCTTTAATATTATGGGTAGCTGCATAGACGAAGATCAAAACATTTCTAGATTCATCGAAGGTTTTGTAATTCGTTATTGTAATATAGTATATTATATATATATATATATATATTATGTATTATGTATATAATTATATTAAACCTACCTATATAATATACAATGTGCGTATTGCTCAATTCGTGATATTTTAACGCTTCGGGATGAGCACTTTGTTGTGATGCGATTAGGAGAAAAGATTATTAAAAACATGTAATAACTGTCAACATTTACCAGTGCGCGTAACATCTAATATAATATAGCGTGTTTTTTTTTTTCTAAAGTAACAGTACAGTGCTTTATATAATGTACTGTTTATTATTTCAAATGTCTAAATGTCTACGCGGTATAAACGCGTGATCAGATAAAATACAAATGGGCATTCGTGACTATACCACCTTAAACTATTACTATTGTACGAGTCGGAAAATAATAATAATATTATAATCGTGAAATGTAGCTTTTCAATTATTATTATTTGTTTTTTTTTTTTTTTTCTATGCGAGAGCTGCGAAATTAATAACGATTTGGTGCGATTTTCATGGCAGGATTAAGGATCGGGTTAGGGGGGAGCTATAACCCCGGGTCGCAAGTAAAAGGGGGCCACAAATTGTCGTTTTTTTTTTTTTTAAATTCTGAATAAATGTTTTATATCATAGATAAAGTATTAATATCGCATTATCATCTATGATATTATTTATTATGGCAAACGAATACTTTTTATCGAAAAAATGAGAAATATTTCTTTTATCTTACCCATATACTTATTTAAGGGGAAGCGGTATGGCCGTTTTTACGTTATTTATGAACGTATAGTAGTGGTGTCTTTACCATAGAAATTTTAATACTTAGAGAAGTTCGATTGTAAAAAATGAAAATTATCAACACATTTTATCAATTTCCAATGGTAAATAATTAAATACAAATGTGAATACGAAAAATATGCTTCAACTCATGCAAAGTAAACTTATTTCTTAACTTATACATCTTTAAATTTTTAAAATCGAATTACAGGAAGTACTTCGATTTTTTTCAGGTGTTTAGATCTTTGACGAAAATTGCATGATGTGTGCATCCCTTTAATGGGCTTATAATAGTTTTAATACGTATCTATACACTATTAAAAAGAAACATAGGTTGAATCGGGATTTTCGTTAGTGGATGAAACTCCAAAAATACGGTCGTTTCTTGAAAGGAATGACGGTGTTAAAATGATTATAATAATATTATTATCTATTCGTATTTATGTTTCGTAGTGTGTATATTCAGTACTTACACAAATGAATCGTCACGAAAAGACACCAGTTTGACCGGTGTATAGAAACTGCAAGTGGTGTCCTTATAGAGGACGACGGCATATTATAATAATATTATATTATCCATGAATTTTATGGGAAAGTAATAATATTTGTTAATCTGACAGGTTCCTACGAAATTTATTAAGAGCAACTTAACTGTTTGAATGTCAAACGCTCGTCGAAGACCAGTAATAATATTAATTAGCTACCTACATATACTACTAATAAATTCGCCCCTATCTATGCCGAACCAAAACAGTTGAGAATATTATTCTGTATAATATTAATATTATAATGCTTTCCGTTTTAAAATGTATCGCCGAGGCAGTCTTACTGACCTCAAGTCGACCGGTTACCGGTTTGCCAACAGGCGGTCCACAGTCCCGCGGACAGTAAAATATACATAATATTAGAATGATAGTTCACTAGATAACCTATTATCATTTCTTAGTTTGTATGTGAAAATATCTTTTATATAAGTTTTTTATTACTAGTTGTATTAAATTCAAATTCTATAGTTTTCATTTTACTTTTTTAGGTATTATAATATACTTGGGCTCATATACGATTTCTCATTAAAACAATTTCAAAATAATACTCGAAAATGCCAAAAGACTTCAAATAGCTCGACAATTCGCAGAAAAAGCCAATATTAAAGCTATATAAAGTATTCTGTGAACATTTGAGAAGGTAGAAAAAGTTTTTTAATTTATATCTGTATGCATCAATAAACCATCGTTAACGAAACCCAAGCGAAATTAATTAAACATTTTTTGAAATGCCGTAATTTTTAATTTTTATTTTCATAAAAATTTGATTTTAAAACGTTTATAAAAAAAACTACATTACGCTTAAATTATTTTTTTTTTTTACAACTCACTAACTCAGTTAAACTTATAACAGACTTCTTATGTATTTGTCAAGCATTTCTGTTCGGTCAAACAATTTTATCTACCTTACCAACAAAAACTAAAAAAAAACCCCTAAAATACCTAAAAATAACAAAACAAATTACAGGAACTAGATCATATTTAAATAGTTATTTTGTGATAATCACACTTTTCTACGATTATTTTTAATTGATTTCTAAAAAATGAAAAAAAAAATGAAATCATTAATGCCGTGAACTTTACTTTTCTTTTCCCTTGATTTTTCCCAATAATTAAGAAAAATACGAAGAAAATTAAAATAAAAAAATCGCCACTCCAGTGCACTAACTAGAAAAAAATTTTCTGCCAGAAATGATGCTACATATGAAAATCGGGACACGGTTTTTGGTGGAAATGTCGTTAACAGACGTGGGGAAAAGCATACGTCATAGTAAAACCGATAGGAACACACAGTGCGCATTCCTCGCTGCGCTCATAATCTAATCGTACAATTTAAAAAACCTGCAGTATTTCGTAGACAGTGGGCCGCCGCCGTAGAGATTACAGGCTCAGATAAAACTATGGTTAAATATTATCGCCGAATAACGAAAATATTTGGAATTTTTTTTTTTCTTTTTTCGACTGTGCCTCGGATTTTCACAGGTTCTCTCTCTCACTCTCGTCGCGATTTGAACACGTACGCCGCGTCGCGCACACGTCACTTGCACTGCTATTATATATTATATGTATGTGTGTGTATAGGCACATATATTTTATTTTTATTAGTCACGCGGACACGGGGATATCGTTATTTCCTTCGGTATACCTAGGTACCTGTATCGCGCGTTATGCAACGTTTGTTAAACACCGAGGAATGTGTAACGAACGACCTACAATATAATAATAATAATACTATAGGTAGGTCTATACGATATATTATAACAATATAAAAATGATAATAATGTTTTAAAATATTATGTGCCGCTGGGCTAGTCCACCCGCAGCAGCGACCGCACGTCGAATTAATGTGTCAAGGAATAAAATAATATTAATATATTATTACAACGACGGTAATTTCGTTTTTGGCGCAGTGCATGGCAGTATAAATAACAATAATAACAATAATAATAATATTATTATATGGTACCTGGGTACATATTTATTTTACTGTAAACCGGCCGACCGGCGATTATTTATTATCCGGCATGTCATTCTTCTCCCCCCGTAATAACGGAAAAGCGAAAATCCACGTGGAAAAAGTGAAAACACTACGTCCCTCACTGCGTATTTGTTTCGATTAATTATCGAGCGGTATCGGAATTTGTTTGAGGTTACCCGTGAACAGTAATCCCCCGGCATCCGCGCAGGTTCCGTTTCAGGTGTGTTGGGCGGACAACAAAACAATGGATAATAAAACCGCGCAGGTTGAAATCCCTAAATTTATTAGAATTTTGTTTTTGGGTCATTCGCGGACAATGAGTGATTATTGTGTGGGTCCATTAGTATGTATTCCATAGGATATTTCTTTTCCTAGTAAGACGTACGGACGAGGTAGAATTAATGTTACTGACCCCGTCCCGAAACATTCATGCGTGAATCGTCTTCTTCGATCACTCTTAATCAATACTTTATTGGTAATATTGAATTTCTATATAGAAATACGGTGTTTTTTTTTTCTTTTTCAAATTATCGTATTCCCGCGACAACTGCACCGTTCCGCCGCGGTCTAGACTCCTGTACTCTAAACCAACTGCATAATATACTCCGATACTCGTTCCGTAATATGCAATGGTATTACGACGTCGCCTCGTACGACTCGGATTTTTAAACGTCAGCCTTGAAAGGCAACCGGTTTTCCGACAACAAACAAATTATTACTTTCGGTCATTTTTTTTTTTTTCTCTCATTCCTTCTCGTACATATATATATATATATACCTAATATTTATATTATGCATGCTCATTGCTTACGGATAACACGATATTTGGTAAGACCGCGCGCGCGTATAATATTATCGTATAACACGTTGTCGGTATGTTTGTATTTTACCACGTATGCTAAACAATCGGCGAGGTTTTGTCACAAGTTGAGATTTGTATGGGTATTTACCGCGATATAACGCACAGCCCCGCGATACCCATACGTATTATTTATAAGCGTTGATACGCTATAGCTGGAAACCGGTTTCGCCGTACGATTTTCTTGTCCGGTCCTGCTTGTGTACACTACGCTACATTATAGTGTGCACGCAGGAGACGTAGAGTGGGTCGAATATTTAAAAGTGAAACCAATCGATATTCCCGTTCGCGAGAAAAACATAAAAATCGAATTACATTATTATACGAGCGTAACGCAATGTCGACGGTCGGCCATCATATTTTAATATTCACCGTGCGGCTGTCGTCGGAGATGGCCGAATAAATATTAATTCTACATTAATAAATAGGGGTTGAGGACAAACGATATATTAATAAACATGAATTTTGACGAATCCCCAACGCGCCAGCTTAGGCGTAGTAATAGGTGTAGAACGCGTTGTGCGGCGGTTTTTCGAAATTCTCGAGTTGGCCAAAATCGATTATCGAACGTTACGAAAATAATATTGTATTTGGTATTTTAATCGTGCCGAAATTCGATTATTAAGATTATTGAACTATGAGATCACGATGTCATAATGTATTTACCGAAGGTCTTTTGACCTACCGATTTATAATTTATTAACATAGTGATATAGGTGCGCGTTATATTAAGAACGTGTGTTCGTAAAATTTGATTGTTTAATCATACGGCGATGACCTCAATAAACAGTTTGATAAATTAAAACTACATTTTGATTAATACATAATAAATAATGACGAATATAATTTATATTAAAATAAAACAAATTTCGATAGTTAAAATCTAAAAATATTTTGTAGAATATAATTAGGCATCTAGTGCTCCAATTGGGAAAAATAAAAGTCGAAGAATGTCGGGAAAACTGGAATATTTATACATAAACGGTTTCCGTTGTATTTGATTTGGTTTTTTTTGTTGTTTTTAAGTAAACATAATCGTAGAGAAATACAATTTCACCGAATACGTATATTATACCTCACCAGACACGGTACAATTTTCAAAACAAGGTTTATCACGAGTTGAAATTAGTGGTTAAAAAAAAAAAAAATAAAAAATAGTAATATAGTAGTTTATTTTTTTGATAACCGTTAAAGTTCATATTTTAATGAAGAAAATGCAAAAATATATATTAACCAATGTGGTACACTTATATCGTCAGTGATAATTACGCTTAAATTTGAGGTACTCCGTTCCCTTGCATTCCCCCCCCCTCAAATTGAACACAGCGGATAATAATAGAAGTACTTACTATAATTACTGTTTTTTAACATTGGTTTTTATTTTTCTATCCATACATGTTTTTGTATCGATTTCAATACGGTACTTATACAATTCAAATTAAATATAATTGACGCGTTTATAAGTATATACGTATTATACACATTTAATATTAATATGTTGCTGGTTGCTTTTCTTTTTTTTTTTTATTTAATATAATAATAAATGTATACTAATTATACTGAACATGGTCCCGACTGATAAAATATATGTGAGTACCTACTTAGTTAGTATTTAATGATTACTTTCAAATTAATTATATATTATGTTTTTAGAGACGAGGAGGATACGAGAACTATGAGAAATCGTTTTACCTACCGTCAATCGTACAATCAGATTTTATTATGTAATCCTTCCATATATTATTGTAATTTTTTAAATAATACGATACATTCACCACTTGTATAATGCGGGCAGATACTCCTATATATTGTGTGGTAGTAGTAGTGCGTACGAATAAAATTATTTCAGTTGAAAATTTTTCTTCCACTTCCCGATATTATATTTTTGAAGCTTATCATAATATATCATTATTAAAACGCTGCGAAACGAAGAGTTACCGTTTGTTAGACAAATGATAAGGGGCCAGACACGATATTTCACGATAATTTGGTATAACGGTATTACGCGACTTTTCTATAATTCGAAATGTGACTTACTCCCGACGTTGCGTTTTCCATTTTCCAATCTCTTTTTTTACGTTTTTCATCTGACGATATTTTTTTTTACGACTTTAAAAGTTTTAAGTTTACACTTCGGACACCGAATTCCTCGGTGCTGTACCTATCACCAGTGGCGGCGTGAACGGGGTTAAATTAATGCAGCTGCGTCACGAAAAAAAGGGTGGGTGGGTGGGTGTTGAATGTTGATGTTTATGGTTGAGTAGATACAAGATACTTGAGTTACAATGTGTAGTACATGATGGAAGATACTTTATTCTTAAGATTAAAATTTAAAAATCAAGATAGTTTACATACCGATCTTTGATTTGGTAAGCGTTTTTTTTTTTATAATTTGTATTTATCTATAAAGGAGGGTGTTTGGGTGGGTGTTAATAAATTTTACTGCGTCATTGGAATAGGTTCATGCTGTTACTGCCTATCACTAGAGATTATTTTGGACGTAGTCAATTTTTTTTTAGACGTTGGTGTTGCCACAGTTTGTTAGTGGTTATATATTTTTCTTATCGTTTTTCTAATGTGATTGTCGTACAAAGCAGTTTTTTTAAGAAGATTTTCTGTGTTTAAATGTGAAAACACAGTAGAATAAAATTTTGCTTACTATGCTTAAAAATTATAAAATAATTGAAATAGGTAGTAGATTATGTAAGAAAATATTTTATTTTACATATGAAATACTTTTGCTAATAGGGAGGGATAACTGGAGAAAGACAAAAAGTTTTGTCTATGGGTATATTATCTGCTCATAGAGATATTTTTTAGTGGACAAGCACTAAATATTTACGAAGAAATACCCTGCAAACGCAAATACTTTTTTAAAAACCACACAATTTGTAACGAAATTACTTTATTTACCTATAGGTCCATCAATGATGTCGGTGCCACATGATCGTATATTATATTACCTTCACTTTTTTAAAATATAAACATGAATGTAAAATTATAGGTATTACGTTTTATTTATTTTTTATTTTTTTTTTTGGTAGAAAAAACCGACGAGTCATTGTTTATGTACAGCCAACTAATAGGCAATGTATAGGAAACACGTATAGGTATCGGAAAATCCGTCGTCACCAATTGACCTTACCCTTGTGTCCCATCGTATTTCATTTTGATTTCAACAGCGATAAACCAGAATCGACGTGTCATTTATTTATTATATTGTTCTTATCATCATTGGTATTTTTGTTATTACTACACTCGGGCATATTTTGTTGTTGAGTTAACAAATATCGTTCCCTCTGAGACTGAAAGTTGTTTAACAAGACTTGCTTGAGTATGTACGGTCTAGAGTCCAATTCGTCAGAATAACTCGTGCGAGTTTATTAGTACCTATACTCGTAAAAGAGGTTTTGTATACGTTGTTTTTATAGCAGCGAAACAGCCGTTTGTAACACAATACCAACGTCGTATTATTATTATTACTATTATAGTTTGTACTCGGAACCACTAGAGATGGAGAAATTGACGTCCGAAAAGATTACATGTTTTATCGGTTTCGTGACATGTCGACGTACACGTATAATAATAATACGAAACGCCGCCGTGTAGTTTTTCACGAATTAAATGTAAATAAAAAAATAAAAACCAGATAATATGCAAATATTATAATATTATATCGTATCTACACGTATACAAGCCATAATAATTAGTTTACAACGCGTCAACCGAATTGTGATAATTTTTGAAAAAATCGAGAGCTATTATTATAGGTTTTTGTGAAAGTATCGAAAAAAAAAATAAAATAAAAAAAATAATCGGTCAGGTAGCTATACCTAAATAGATATCGTTAACCTAACATGGTGCCGGATGTGAATCTATAAATCATTATAACCCACAGAGGTCGTCGACATAGACTCACAATATTATTAGAATACTAAGAATGAAATCTGTCTGCAGCTGCGTTAAATACCTATACAATCTCTCTTGTCTAATACATATTCAGAACAGGTGAACACATTTGTATTCTGAACTTCCGATTTGAAAGAATTGTACTGTTTAAAATATAATCGTATAACGTTTAAATCTGTTGACGATTCGAAATTTTCGAAAATCGGGGGATTATAAATATAGTCTACTATTATCGTAAGTACTCCGATTTATTTAATATAGATTTTGATCAAAACCATGAATATATGTATATGTTTATACAGCAAATGAGCGGCCGACTCTATGAGTAAATGGGAAGCTTGGAAGCCATCATAATATAAGACCGAATAGTCAGATTTGATCATCGATTAACCAGTAAAATATTATTATTTACGTCGTGAATAATATGATACATATCATATGACATGGTAATATCACAAATATTTGAAATTGTTTTCATAGAGCGTATACGTATCTCTATGATAATATAATCGATGACATAAATAAATGTTAAGGGTAATCAATATAATTTTCTCTCTTAGTTTGCCCAATTTTGGATTGTCAAACTTCATATCTCTTTTGAGACTTTATCGTGCAGTCGGCTTTCTTTAGTTGTTTCATATTACACGATATATCTGCGGATAAATAAAACCTAAACTGTTCGATATTAGTAAAATGTATGAACGCTTGTCCTTCGCGCACGCCTAATACGAAAAACAGTTTATTTAACGTTTAAGTTAATTATTGCGTTTTATAAAATAATATTGTGTTCGAGTAATAATTTAATGGAATAATATTATGCATAATATTATTATCGAGCAGGTATACCAAATGATTTTTAATAACCGGTTAATAAAATCAACCATTACTATTTACCCTATATTAGGACCACTCGTTTAATATAATCCAGTAACTCCATTTAAATACTGTTATTATTACATTTTTATAATAATTGTAACGCTTTCTGAAATAAATGGTTTGATACATACATTACACCTAACTCAACTTCACCTTACTATAAAAAAAAAAAACCCCTACGAAACGTGAAGGGCGTATATCGACAGTATTAATCAGTTATAATTTATCCGTTTGTCCCGATATTTCTGATTTAGAAATCGATTTTATCGGGAGTGGGAGGGGGCAAAACAGTCAGAAAAAATAACGCAAGGGCTGGTGTAAGTATTCAAACGAAGATAACAAACAATTTTAAATATCTTTCACGATCAAAATTCGCAATAATATCGGCCACCAGGTTTCTCTCTTACACGCAATCAGTCCATTATTTTTGTAGGTCTTTGGTACAACTATAATAGCGATAATAACAATAATAATACAAAATAATTGCCTTGTTAATTTAGTTCTTTTTTTTTACGATAATTATTGTCGGCAATCACTAATCATACCGATGGCTGCCTATTTCTATAATTTGCATTCGTAATTATTGTCCCCGTACATGTATAAATAAATATCAATATTTTAAAACGCACCGAGTACTGCAGTTAAAACAGCGATAAAGACAATTGCACCGAAGAAACGTGCCGAAGTCAAACCCTACTATATGTATGCAAATTTTAGTATAATATTCGTTAATTATACATTTTACCGTTTTTCTAAACACTTAAACACACGGCACGTATAATTCGAGAAAAAAGAACTGCTATTACATCTTCTATAAGTAAAAAGTGAGGAATTCGGGTGACATATAGGGTAATTTCAAATCGTATTTATGATAACAATATGATGCGGTATGCAACAATAAATTATCACAAAATAAAAAAAACGAGCGATTATTGAGTCGAATTAAACTATTTTTCGCTTAAGTAACTTAAACGGAAAATCGTATTCAATGTTAAATTACAAAATAAGATTTCCAATGGGGAAAAAAATCTAATATCTTTTAATTGTAGATGAGCTTCACTATCGCCTCTGGCGAGCTGCCGTTGCAGACGGTGTTAAATAATAATAATTTTAATTGTATAATTATTTTCATTTTCAGTTGTGTGTGACACGTATACAACGATATTTTACAGGTTTTTGATTCGTGTCGATTTTATTAAATTACTATTTGATAATATTTAATATATTGATAAAATATTATTATGTCATTCGGATATTCGGATATTCCGTACTATGACTAATAATATTGTATAATTAATATACCGAACGCAGAACGACTGTATTGATTGTGAAACGGAAACCTATTGTTTTATACTATTTAACCGGTTATATTATTATAGACAAGAACGATCTTATATTTTTATTAATTTTTTCGTGTAGATCATAATATTTTGCAAGGTAGATTATGCAGCTACAGTATAATGTATTCATAGTTTCTCGACGTTATAAAATGACGCAACGACTGGGGTATACGAACGCTATCGAAAGGATTATGTTATATTGATACCTAATATTATAAAACATTATGCACGACAAGAATCAGAAAAATCACATATAGGTACTTGAAGTGAAACAAAACAGCAGATTAAAATGGCGTTATTTTATATTTTATACGGGGATAAAAAAAAAAGTTTTGTTATCGCATCGGTCGATACATTTTTTAAACAGTAAATTGTGGTGTAGTCGATCAATAAAAAAGAAAAATGACCGCCATAGAAGTGGAGGGGTAAAAACTACTGTAACATTTCCCCTTAAATGGGTATTAGGTACAATACATTAGCGAAAAAGTCTTATCATTAAAGTGGTCGTTAAAAGGTAAATTATAATTTTGAAATTTTACAAAATTAGAGAACATTTAAAAACCATTTCCGACCCATTTGCAAAATCGTGGTCTTTCAAGTAGCCTTTTTTTTCTTGAGTTTTCTTCTGAGTTTTTTTTTTTTTTACAGTTGAATCGTGTTTCTTTTGCACATTAACTTGCCCATAGCAGGTATTTTCTATTTTGTTCGCTCACAACGTCATAATATACGGTCGTTTAAACATTGCCTCTAATTCCACGAATTGCGAATTGTTACTGCACATATACGCCCCATAATTGCCCCAAAAGTACTATCGAGTTTTATAAAGTAGTTTTTTTTTGATAATTTGTAATTTTGTTTTGTACCTATATTCAGCTACCTGTTTCAAGGGTTTTAATATTACATAGTCAAAGGTTTTAACTTTGTATAGTATTCGTTTTGAATTATATTTTTGCCGTTTAACAATTTTTTTTTCATAGCGTAATTGCAACATACACTTATAATATTTTATTCGTATTGTTTTTTTGATCGAATTTCCCCCGAAAATAGAGAATAAAATCATATATTATAGTATGTATATTGTACGTGGTATTTACATGTATCTTTTCCTCGCTACTTTTGGACATTTCTAGTGATTTCATATGGACTAAATAATACAACAAAACTCGAGAATTAGTGTTATTTTATAGGCGGATTCAAGTGATAAAATTCAGGTTGAAATTCAATATGAATTTAACCACGTTGCTGCTGGAAATGGGTGATATTTTTAGCTTTGTACACCCCTATAGTTCTACCGAAATAATCTTATTAATAATTTTTTGAAAGTAGTATAATTATTTTAGGATATTACTATAGTTATGGGTTATTTATTGTCTGCAAAGGATATGTTTACTATACACAGTAGGCGGGTGAAAATTCGACTATGGTGACGGAGTTCTGCTGTCCGTTCGTTTATTTCCTATAAAATATAATAATATTATTATATTGGTATGCTCTGCACTACTACGACGATGATGACGTCATATCGCAACTATTTCATATTATATTATTATTACGTATGTACGGCCGGGGCTACCTCCAGACGGGCGAAACCCGCGCCACATTATAATATTATCAAGGTAAACGAGAAACACCTCCAGGCCCGACAATATTATCCAATGCGCCTCAACAAAATAATGTCATAAAAAATGTTATTTGTATAATATTATTATTTTCCGTCACTGTTACTATATGACTATAAGCGCCTACTCGAGCCTTTCGAGTGTTTTTCCACCAACAATATTGTTTTGTAACGCTTATTATATATCATTAAATAGAGCATTTATTTATCGTAGGCATATCGTGTTACGATGTATACGAGTACTCGTTCTTTTGCCCTTTTTAGATTGCGGGGGGGGGGGAAATCCGTTCTATTACCAAAGCGGCGACGACGGTGCCCTTCGACGCCATTGCGAGTTGCTTGTTGGAAATCGAATCTACAGGCTAATATATATGTATAGGTACAGGATGGTTCGTCCTCAAAATATCTCGAGCATCAAAATATCCCTCATTCAAAATGTTCCCCGTTAAAAATAACCCTAATACAAATATTCTACGTTAACAATATCCCCGTTATAAATATCCCAATTAAAAATTACCTGTATACAAAACATCTCTGATATTATTTTCCCTTATTTTATATTTATATTGTTTTGTTATTATTTATTCTATTGAACATGTAATATGATTTAAATATAAGTATTAATATAATACTCGAGCAATTTTTCTGGTAGAAAGCTTATTTATTTAAAATAATGAAATCGTAATTTTTTTCCGCTTAATCGCTTTTATTTTGAATATCGCTTCGACAATCAAAATAATGATCTTTTTAAAGTACAACTTAGTGAACCAAGTTTCAGAAAACATGCTACACTTCATACTTTTGAGTAAGATTTTTAAAACCATCATCGTTCCATACTTCACTCAGAATCTAAATAATATGAAATAAGGGATAATACCTAACTGGATATAGGTTGCCGTATGATAATTAAAAGTAAGTAGTAGTTTCACTCCGCAAAATAAGGGTGACAATTAAATAGAGTATTGAACAATTTTAGCGTTACTTATTTCTTAAATATTTCTAAAAACGAATTCCAAAAAATGTTAATACATTTCGAGATTATGACATGTAATGCATCATATAGTTTCGCGGCGACCCAGAAAATCGTTTGACATTACCATGGTTCTCAAATTCGCACAAACTTGAAATATTTTGAAAAATCGTTGTACTGTTGCCGTCGACGTAAAGGGATATTATAACACCGTCATCACAATGTCTACGCCCCAAACACGTTTTAAACTTAATATTTTCTCGTACCTAAGTCGCCTTCTTTTGTGTGTCCGTACAACGTGTTATTATTTACTTTATCCGCTACCAGCCACCCCGCGCACTGTTCGACATCATTTTTCATTTTCATTATCCGCATTAACAGCGAAGTATAAACCTACTGCTGCTGCACATACCAATAATATACTTCCGTTTTTCTTCTCTCTCTTTCTCTCTCTCTCTGTCTTTATTATGAACTAAAACCAAAATCATATTGTTGTCAACCCGCACACCGAAACGTCCAAAACCTATTCATTATTTTACGCACGCGTGTAATGTTATATATTATGTTTGACTATCGGAGCCGTGTGCCATACACGACTATACGC